GGAGATAAAACCCCTCTATTCCACGATCAGACACTCAAAGTGCTTCCACATTGCATCCTCTGATCATCCCCACATTGTTGGCCTGCGTTCACACACTCATGCAGACGTTTTATTCCAATATAAAACATGATGTGACTTCCTAAGCAGGCGTAAATGCAACAACTGCTTTCACCTTGAATTATTGAATCAGCGTTTAATGAGCGTGCTGCAGCAGAGAGGAGCTTCCTGACATGTTGGCACACATCCCCGCCGCACATGAGATGGGCTTGTAAATGTGAAAGAGGCTCCAGCATGTTGTATTTCCACAACAGCCCGTCTCATAAAAGTACAGCTGGATACGGCTGTGAGTAATTATTATCTAAATATTTAATTTGCAGGTTTTTTTCTAAAGTAGTGGTTCCCCCTTTCCCTGAAGGAACTCCTTTCTGTCATTGAGTAGACTAAAAACCCGATTAGGCGACATATTTAATGCATGTTTTTATATTTAATTCAGTGCACAACAAAAACAGCTGAAATACAAATGGATATAAAACAACAAGAAGCAGCAAATCCTCACATTTGAGCATGTTGCATTAAAGGTCCCATGTCATGCTTTTCCGGTTATTACCCGTCCCCTTGTGTGTTATGAAGGTTTTTCTGCATGTAAACGGTCTGCAGAGTCACAAACCCTCAAAGTACACCCTGTAGCGAGTAAAACTCTAACACAGAAAATACCTGTCTATGCTGCCCCAGAACGCCTCGTTGGGGATTTCTCCCATTGACTTGCATAGAGCTCCCTGAACGCTGGTAATAGACGAGTTGGGATCGTGGAGAAATGCTCTCCGCAGACCCATTCTCACAGCGTTATAAACCTTTTTCTTATTCAATATCAAGCCACACTTATTGTTTTTACTTCGGCTGTGAGTCTTTGTGTGTGCTCAGGATGAGTTTCGCTTGTTCTCGCTGTATCGCCGACCCGGAAACCTGTCCGCTCCTCGCAGCAGCGGCGAGCAGCAACGAGCCTCGCAACGAGCCTCGCAACGAGCCTCGCAACGAGCCTCGCAACGAGCCTCCAACGTCCCGACCAATCAGAGCACACTGGGCTCACAGGGAGGGGGGGGGCAGGAGCTCCAACAAGCCGTTTAGGACAGAGAGTGAATACACATACTATACAGAGATGCTGTATGAGAAACCAATGTGAGTTTAGAACATTGCACAATATACATCTGACCTCAACAATGGAATTATGATCAGTAGAAATGGCCATGACATGGGACCTTTAAGCATTTGCACCAGAATGTACCTAAAGTACAACAAATAAAGTACTTTATTGCCCAATAATCAATGAATAAACCCCTGACTAAGGTCTTTTTTGGGATATTTTGATATTATATTCAATGCATAACAAACAATTGCATAACAAAAAAAGTGTGCAAATAACCCAAATGATAATTAAGGATTTAAACAGCAGAAAAGCTACAAATCTTCACTTAAGCATTTTGTCACGTTTTAGGATTAAAATGTACTCAAAGTACTTAAAGTAAAAGTACTCCTTCAGCACAACAGCCCGTTTTCAGAACAATACTATTGGATCATACGACCCCGGACTGAGGTCGAGTGACATCTTTTATGGATATTCCATATTATATTCAATGCATAACAACAACAGTGAGGAATAACTGATACATTGTACAATTAACTGAAGTATTGATTACAATACACTGCAGGAAGTTTGTGTAAAACGAGAGATTTTGGTGAATTTAGAGCTTTTGCTGTTATCGTCTAGGAACTTTTTATACAATTATGTGTAGATATTATGTTTTAAGATGAATTATGTAATGGTTTGGTCTTTATAAAGTCAGAAAATAAGGGGAAATGTCTATCACAGTTTCTTAAAGTCTTTAAATGTCTTGTTCTGTCAGTCCAAAACCCAAGATATTCTCTTTAATTTGATATCAGGGTATATGCAGGAATCCTGAAGTCAAATGTAAAACCTTTTAAGACCTTTTTTAAGAGCCTTTCCATACATTTTAAGACCTCATCGCCACTTCGAGTTTGAACCGGTTACATTGGCGACACACTTTACCTCACATTGACTATATACAGTATTGATTGTCCTTCCTCCTTATCTTCCAACCATTTGGACGCAGACTTGCATTTCCCCATAACGATGTTGTTTAACAACCGGCGTAAACGGGCCTTCGCGCGCTATCAAGCAGTGAGCGTGCGATGTCCTGTTCAGGTGACGTCAAATCCAACGGGATGCCATAAATAAACTACACAGAATCACACTACACACCTACGCAATGATTACATTCAGGCACACTGTAGAATACAACCTCTTTGGACAATTTATATACTTATTGAAAACAAGCTACAAAATGTAATAACCTTGGAAAATGCCGTTTAATACTTTTTAATAGCCTTCATTTTCGCAAAATTGATTTATCAACTTTTAATACTTTTTAAGACCCTGCGGACACCCTGGATAGAGAACAGAGAAAAGCAGGCTAACGTGAAGCTTGTTTGTTTACTATAGCTTGCAGGCACGTGCACACATACAGTACACATCAAAGTGGGCTTGAGCCCCTGCCCTTTTTCTTCCTCCAGAGAAAGTGCCCTTTTTTTCCCCTTTTTTATTTTTTAAATAAATGAATATATATATATATCTACTGCTGTTTGCGCACTGTTTCCCTTTCCACAAATATATTGATTGAATACAAAATAAAAAATATCAGGTCAGGAGATTAGACTGTGAAGTTCCGTAGCTCTCCCCCCCTCCACGTCTCCTGCACAGCGGTGCGGACATCGGCAGTTACTTCTGACAGACAGGTAGCAGCACCTCCCACTTTACTGTCACTTCAGACAGACAGGTAGCAGCACCTCCCACTTTACTGTCCCTTCAGACAGACAGGTAGCAGCACCTCCCACTTTACTGTCCCTTCAGACAGACAGGTAGCAGCACCTCTCACTTTACTGTCCCTTCAGACAGACAGGTAGCAGCACCTCCCACTTTACAGTCCCTTCAGACAGACAGGTAGCAGCACCTCCCACTTTACTGTCCCTTCAGACAGACAGGTAGCAGCACCTCCCACTTTACTGTCCCTTCAGACAGACAGGTAGCAGCACCTCCCACTTTACTGTCCCTTCAGACAGACAGGTAGCAGCACCTCCCACTTTACTGTCCCTTCAGACAGACAGGTAGCAGCACCTCCCAATTTACTGTGCCATGTTATGCCGGCTTTTCTTGGCTTGTTTGAAGGTGACTGGTGATGAACAAATGACTAAACTGCCAGTGCCTCGAGTTTACAGCTAATTAGCTAAAAGACAAAAACAAATATAGTTAACTAAGGTAGGCTACTAGCTAATGGATAAGTTAGCTCAAGGTTTAGCTAAGACAATTTATCATGGGCATACAGGCTAATGTGCTGTACTTAAGGGGAGACAGACACTTAAAGTGAATACAGTAAAATGTGTATCTAATAACGTCATCACAATCGCCACATTGATATGCAAATTAGGTGTTAACTAGTACACTATTAATAAAGTACTATTTGATCTCTTATCTTATCTTGATTAAAATGTGCTAATTTGCATGCAGTTACCAAGGCATTGCAGGTGAAAAGGATAAAACAAAAAACAAACAAAAAAACATATCACCTCACAACTTCCCCAGATAGTTACTTACGTCAAGTCAGTATTTTCCCCTGAAATGTTGTGTTTAAATCTATAGATAACTTCATCCTTTTGATTGTTGGCTGCTCATTTAATAACTATTAATGTTACTAGTTTGTTGTCTGCTCTTGTGCTTTGTGAATAAAGAAGACCATTGTCTCTGTGTTAGCTGATTATTTTGTAGAATTCTGTTGAGTATTAAACAATTGCGTGAGTGTGAGGGTATTAAAATAAATTGGTCAGTAAGTCAGAGATGTGCAACTATATTTAACTTTTTGTTTTACATTTTTTTTTATAAATGATTATGGGAAGTGCCCTTTTTCTCACTTGAGCTCCCGCCCCCCAAAATGTCTGTGCACGTCCCTGCTTAAGTACAATCGTTGAGTAAGTGCACTTGATGTCCACCACTGCATTTAACAAGCTGTAACCACACAACAAACTCTAATTTATGCTAAATAAATGACTTAAATCCCTCTCTATGGGCAAACTGATTACCCTGCAGCACCAGGGTCCCTTCACCTTATCGCTCATTTCAGTACAGAAGAGAAAAGCTACAGGTTTTATATCTCTTCCACTTTACGCATCACAAAACCCTGCAGCCAAGGAGCCACATCTCCTAATGTGAGCTGGCGTGCACCCAGCGGCAGGCACACACACACACACACACACACACACACACACACACACACACACACACACACACACACACACACACACACACACACACACACACACACACAACACACACACACACACACACACACACACACACACACACACACACACACACACACACACACACACACACATGATGCTGTGATGCAACCACCACCACACCTACAGCTTCTACCAGAGGTTGTTCCTCTCCGCCCTGTGCATGCGGCAGCAGGCGGATACAGACCTGGGCTGACAGAAGCAGGCATTTAATGACAGTGTGAGTGTGTATCCGTGCGTGTGTGTGTGTGTGTGGATGCTTCCTCTCTCCCGCATGTTTCCCACCTCGCATCTACGGAAAGGTTGTCAACGCATAATGTGCTGTGTGGGCTGTGAGGTGTTTGCGCACAGGACTTATGGAAAGCCTCTTACGTGTGCTTGAAGCTGCGGGAGGGAAGGAAAACGAAAACACGCACACGCACACGCACACACACGCACACACACACACACACACACACACACACACACACACGCGATAAAGCAGTGGAATAATACACGTCTACCCGGGATTGAATAGCAACATATTCCCGCTGTGACACCCAGCTGTGCGCCACCACCACCATCACCCCACACACACACATCAACATGCAGCACACACACTCTCCCGCAGCCTCCTCCTCACACACACTCACTATGAGCGGGATGGTCCTGTCGTCCCGGTGCATCTCCAGCCGGCCGGGGACCCCCCCCTTCGGCCCCCCATGGCCCCTGCCGCGCGTCACGGACGACGGCGACGACTGCGGCTTGTTGTCCTGCCACAGGTAATAGAACGTGCCCAGGATCCACGCGACGGTGAGAATGGCGATGGCGTTGGCCCGTATCCTGCGCATGGTGAGTCCATATGGAAGCGCTCCGGACTGGAGGCTCGGGTTCACGGAGGACCTTCCGCCGCCGAGATGCGCTGATTGTCGGACAGACTGCCTGCTCTCCTCCGTCTCTCTCTGGCTCTCCTCCTCTCACTGAGCCAAGGTCCTAGCGCCGAGGTATATCATCCCTCTGCACACACACACAAATACACACATATACACACACACACGTATACACACACACACGTATACACACACACACACACACACACACACTATAAAAAACACACACACACACTATAAAAACACACACACACTATAAACAAACACACACACACACACACACACACACACACACACACACACACACACACACACACACACACACGCACACACCATGGGCGGTTCTATAGGGAGGAAACAGGGGTCCTGTATCACTGAGCTTGGACACAGGTATTATCAGCTAAAATAACTTAGTAAAAGTAGACGTACTGTGCAAATAAATGATTCCTTTCACAGTGTTTATATATATTTTTAGAAACAGAAATACGTAATGTATCTCTAGCAGGAAATTGGAATGTGCAATAATAAAATAAAATAAAAATAATATTAAAATAAAATAAGAGAAGTAAATACAACAAGTTAATGTTTTATCCATAGGGAGACAATTTAAGATACTTTGCTATCTATAAATTAACAATAAATTAAAATAATGTATACAAATATGTGCACATTGTGTATAATACAATATAAAACAGTAATAATAAAAAAAGAGGGGACTATTTATTCTGTAAAAAAATATATATTTCTGTCATAAAACATATTAAACTAAAACTACCTGTATGGCTTAAACCCACCAACATGTTCATTTCAGTGAAGTGACCCTTTCGCTCCCGTGCTGCTCCCCCCGTCCGGCAGCCAGAACCACATCTGCTGCTTATTTATTATCCCGGCTATAAGAAGACTTATTATTCAGCCTATGCATTTTAATTATACATTTAACCGAGCCGCCTGCAGCTCACACAGAGAATAAGAAGCAGCTGAACTGATCATGGAGAACAAGGAAGAAAAAACAGTCTTTGAACAGCAGCGGCATGAATATTCAAAGGAGATAATTCTGGATTTAAACAGGTGACCTCCTGCTGCTTTGACTTATTCAGTGCAGGAATAATTACATTACACAGAAAGTTAGAATATATTAGACTGAGAGGAAACTTCTCTAAAAATCTTTAACAGCTTTGAAAAGTCTGCAAAGAAATCAGACTGGAGCAAAAACCCCCCCAGAGAGTAGAGGGAAGGAGGCTGAAATATTTTCATTTGATTGTGAAATAAATAATAAAAACGCCCCTCAGTATGAGCTCATGCAACCCCACCTATATACTGAGTGTGTGTGTGTGTGTGTGTGTGTGTGTGCATGTGCGTGTGCGTGCGTGCGTGCGTGTGTGTGTGTGGTGATACAAGTTTTCTTTACTTGGTCACACATTCAGAATATCCCTTGAGTGAAAGTACAGAAAGTAGAAGTAGTTGTTCTGCAGAAAAATTGCCTCCATTATGTGTTATTAAATATACCAGAGCCCAGTTTGCTCTGATTTGTTAGCTGGCCGGCTGTGATGTGATTGGTCAACCTCTAAAGGCCCCTACACACCAGGCCGATATCGGCCGTCTTGCGTTGTTGGGCGAAAACGGGTTCCTTGTCGCCCAAAGTCAATTTGGTGTGTCCCGAACCCTCGGCCGTGACACGCCTTATTTGGCCTTTCACGATCGACACCCGGCCGATTCAACATGTTGAATCGGCCGGGTGTCGGACACAAGCTATCGGGCCAAGAAACCACTCCGATCAGCTGTTCAGCTAGCAAATGAGAAGCGAAACGGAAGTGAGGGACGTAAACAAACGATTTAAGGCACAAGACAGCAGCTAAACACCAGCAGGTGATACTTAAAGACATCAAACATAGCCCTTAAATGTCCTCTCTTACCTCCCACACATAGCAGGGACATCTCTGATATCGGCGGGAGCGTCCCCGGCTGTCCTCTGCTGAGAGCTCCGTGATTTGTTTGGTCAAGTCCGGTTTTTCATCTCATCGTAAATCTAGCAAGAAGTGGCCATTATTACATTACATACATTACTACATTGCTGACTCAATAAACTACACACCCGCCAGAACACTGCGATCATCAGATGCAGGTCTATTAACTGTGATTTTATAGTATGTCTGCACTTTATGTGCTCATTTCATCATTCATGTATTTTTATATTCTAAAACATGTTTTCGATGGACGAGAGTGAAAATGGAACGCACACGCTATTGGTTTGTTTATATCAGTCTGTTCTTCTTCTCTGTCTTCCGGTTGTTGCCTATTTTGAATGACGAATACACACTACCGCCGCCTGCTGGTAAGGAGAGTTATTGCCACTCACGCATGCGCAGTTCGTACGTGCTCGGCTGAAGTCTTTGCGGTGATTTCCAGTGCGACACACGGCCAATACGCAGGAGAACTCGTCGATGGAACTGTCGGTGTCGGGTGTCGGCGAGTTCTCTGGTGACTGCCTGGTGTGTCAGGGCCTTTAGAGATGTCCCGTCCCTTAGCCTATCACGTACAATGTGCTGGAGCGCTAGCCAATAGGAGCGTGAGTGTTACAAAGTGATGTCACTATGTTCCTGAAGTAAACAAAGGGGTCCAATTGAGGCGTTTCTGGCGGAGGCATGTCAATTTGCCTTTGCAGACCATTTACATGCACTAAAACCTATAAAATACACTACATGAAGTGAGCATCATAGGGACCCTAGAAGGTTTTAGATCACTGTCAAATCTGGTTGTTTTTTCGATCAAACTCCTTAGCTGCCTATATTTCACCTTCAAAATGCAAACGCAATTTCAGAGCAACAAAATATGCCCAGAAATGAAAACGATAAATGCATTTAAATGTTTCTGGTTTGACATCATCAAACACATCTGTTGAAAATAACACAGGAGACACAGGACTTGGTGTTCACGTATAAACAGATATGAGTGGAGATAATTCTGAATATGAACAAATATATTGACATGACTATCTTCAAGTGCTGGTCCAAACCTCCTGATGTAATCCCTTTATAAATGCATGCACTGTAGAAATTAAAAAGTGCTTCACAAATCAAATCTGAAAATGCTGCTGGTTTTAGATTAAACAAATCACTTGTTCTAATCTCATCCACACGGTCAGATGCATGTCGTGTAAAACTGAAAGAGTGAAACACATCTCTCCTCTGTCCTCTCTCTCTGCAGCTCTTGGAGGTTAATCTCATTATGCATGTAGCCCCCCCCCCCACTGTGTTTATAGAGAGGGAGGTCACGGGGTCACAGCCATCTGGCTCAGGGCTGCAGATGTTCGTCTTCATCAGGTCGGACAGAGCTGCTCCTCTCGAGGCAGCTGCTGTCAACATTATCTGTGGGAATACAAACGGAAACATAAAATAATGCATTATGTCACTGTTTTCTTTCAGAATATGAACCAAAACATTACAGAAAACACTCTATTGTGACTGTTATCTGTTATAATATGGACCACACACATAAAATAAAGCATTATGTCACTGTTTTCTCTTGAAATAAGGTCCAAAACATAGTAAAATAACACAAAAGATGGCACGGTGTCACTGTTATCTCTGGGATTATAACCCAAAACATTAAATAATGTCACATGTGGTCACATTTTTCTGTTAGAATATGAATAAAAACATGAAATAATGCACATGTGGTCATTGTTATATCTGGAAATATGATAATAAACACAAAATAATACTCTTTGTAACAGTTTTCTCTGGAAATGTGATCCAAAACATACAAAAAAGTGCACTGTCAATTTTATCACTGGGATTAAAACCCAAAACCTAAAATAGTTCACATGTTTTCACTGTTATCTCTTAAAAAATTCGAAAATACATGAAATAAAAACTTGAAATAAAGCATTATGTCACGGTTTTCTGTGAACATGTGATCCAAAACACGACAGCACTACCGTATATAACTATTATCTCTGAGAATATAAACCAAATAAAAAATGAGTAGAAGGGAATATGGACCAAAGCACAATACTGCTGTCACTGTTTCCTCTGGGGATATATCCAAAACATACAAACATGCCCTGCTGTCACTGTGACATCTGAGACTATGGACCTAAACTCAAATAACACACACACACACACACACACACACACACACACACACACACACACACACACACACACAACACACACACACACACACACCACACACACACACACACACACACACACACACACACACACACACACACACACACACACTAATCCCACAAAGCCTTCCTTGTGACAACACTGTCTTTTCTTCTCCTCTGGCATAGCAGACATGAAACGTGTTTCCTTCCAAACAAAGTAGATTTAATTTCACTTGTAAATATTTGGTGTGTGTGTTAGCCTCAGGTGAGTGTGTGTGAGTGTGTGTGTGTGTGTGTGTGTGTGTGTGTGTGTGTGGTGTGTGTGTGTGTGTGTGTGTGTGTGTGTGTGTGTGTGTGTGTGTGTGTGGGTTTAAAGCAGGACACACTTGAGGCCGGTGTTTGAGGATATCTCCATGTGTCCTGCAGCTCCACCCGTCTTGAGACAAACGCAGCTTTGTTCCAGCAGACGTCACTTGGAAAGAAGCTGTATCTGCTGACTGACAGCCCACTGATTAGGAAAACAGTCAGACTTATTTAGGGGTGGTGATGATGTCGGTGGTGCCGCAACTTAAAGAGCGGAGAAAAACAGCTGCTGTGGTGCGGAAACCTCCATCTGTTGGGGTTGGTTTGTTTGGTTGTCTTACATGAACTGGCTTCACTGGTGGAAATGGATTCCTGCAGGACTGAGCTCAGAGACATGGAGTGACCACACAGAGACTGACTATGACTAGAAAGAGACATACAATTAACAGAAAGAGATGTGAAGGAAATACAAACAGACATGAAATGCCTACAGATTCATGAACTAACCACAAAGAGATGTGCAAAGACACAAGGAAGAACTACAAAGAGATGCTAAATGACCGCTAATGCTAATGTGTGAAGAAACACAGCTGGTAGTGGTGTGGTTTCATTTCGATTTTGTGATATTTCTTCACTCTTTCTTGCTGGTAACTGGCAAAAGTACAAGTAAAAGTACAAGTGGATAAAAGATCATAATTTAAAAAAATCCATTTGATATAGGCCTAACTAAAAACGTAATATCCACTCCGCTAAACTCCTGAAAAACTGATTTAATTTCATTTTGGGTCAAACGTTAAACCAGGTTTGGAGTTTGACCCGCATCCATTTGTTGCATCTCATTTCCTCTTAATCACACTTTCCCTGCTCACTGTCACGAAAGACAAAACCTGAGGTTGGTAGTGACCGTTAAGGAGAACAATCACACATCTCTTTCTGTCAATGGAGTCTGGGTGTTTTGAAGAGATATCACTTCAGTTCCCCGTCATACGAGCAAGGTCAAGCTGCTAAAATATCCAGAATATAAATGTGTATAGTTGGACTGATGGATCATTGCTTTACTCCCTGCTGCTCTGCTTCTACACATTGCATCCAATGTAGGTAAAACACGATATATGGAAAAAGACCTCATGCAACCTCACTAAAATAACCATCCTCACAGCTGTGTGTTTCCCCCTGCTTTAAAACGTTTCAGACATTGAATCTGCTTAAAGTGTACAATTTCTGATGAAGGAACCATAAAAATACAGGTTTTTAAGCGTACAGGGAGTTCTTCGTCCTAAAAATAATAGATGGGAAAACCTGTGAGCTATACAGTCACACCAGGACACAGGACGAAGGATTCCTACATTCTGTGTGTGTGTGTGTGTGTGTGTGTGTGTGTTATGCAAACATTGACTGTAAGAGAGTACACACACACACACACACACACACACACACACACGACTGTACATGCAGAGCTCGATGATCACTGGTTACAGCTGCGAGGTGATTGGCTGAGTTTCCACTATTATCATAGAGGAATTCCTTACAGGCTTACAGGAGAGGAGAAAGTGTGTGTGTGTGTGTGTGCGTTTCTTCTCATGTTATTTGAAGATGAGTGTGCAAACAACCAGACTGAGACCTCTGTGTGTCTTTGTTTTTGGCGTTCCTGAAGGCAAGATAAGTGCCCGTTTCTGTGTGTGTGTATTTTGTGTGGTGTGTGTTTGTTTTGGCATAGTCGTCTGAAATGCCAGCAGTGTTTCTAGGCGGAACTAAAAAGTCTCCGAAAACACACACACACACACACACACACACGATATTCATTTATTCATGTGAATATCATAACCTGGTCAGGATATTTCCATCATTTTGAGTTCATTATCAGCCTGTCTTGTACTATGTATGTAGCTTTTATAAAAAGGACTTTCCGATTGAGTCTCCATGAGAAGACCAAAGTGGAGGAAAGCTTCTTCACTCATGGGAGGAGAAAGAGCCCTAAAAGAGGCTCCATTCTGCTTTTTTTTGGCGTTTTCCTTCTCCTGTAGTGTGTTATATAGGTGTTAGTGCATGTCAATGGTCTGCAGAGGCTAAAATCCCAAAGTTGGAATCCTTGTTGTCGACCAACGTACAGGTGCATTCATTTTAATGTAATATTAGGGGTGTCGGATGCGTTTTCTTCTGCTATTTGCTAGTTTTCTTTTTACAATAAAACATCATGTTGCATCAACATTTTGTGCAAAAAACTTGATCCATAAAGTAAATACTAATTAAAGCTGTTGAATAATTGTAGTTAAAGGTCCCATGTCATGGCCATTTCTACTGATCATAATTCCATTGTTGAGGTCTACTAGAATAAACGTATATTGTGCAATTTTCCAAACTCACATTGGTTTCTCATACAGCATCTCTGTATAGTATGAGTATTCACTCTCTGTCCTAAACGGCTTGTTGGAGCTCCTGCCCCCCCCCTCCCTGTGAGCCCAGTGGCCGTCTGCGAGACAGCGAGACACAGCGAAACCCAGCCCGAAACACACACACACCCGCAACCTGGCTGGGAGTTTGTGTGTGTCCAGGCTGAGTTCCGCTGTGTCTCGCCGACCCCACACCAGTGAGCCAGCTCACAGTGTCCCGCTCCTCGCAGCAGCGAGCCTCGCAACGTCCCGCCGAGTGTGTGTGTGTGAGGAAGTCCGCAGATTGGTCCAAACGTAACAGCTCCGCGTCCATTTGGACCAATCTGCAGAGCCGTTACGTTACTATACCTGAAATACGTCACTATACCCAAGAAGTAAACAATGGAAAATGAAAAATGTCCAACGAGGCGTTCTGGGGCAGCATAGACAGGTCTTTTCTGTGTTAGAGTTTTACTCGCTACAGGGTGTACTTTGAGGGTTTGTGACTCTGCAGACCGTTTACATGCAGAACAAGCTACATAACACACAAGGGGACGGGTAAGAACCAGAAAAGCATGACATGGGACCTTTAAGCTAAAAGTGCAATATTTCCCTTACCTCAAATGAGTAGATGTGCACAAACATGAGTGGAAATCTTTCTTTATTCTGGTTAAAACCACACACACAGACACTCTGTCTTTATACAGTATACACACAGCGGGATAAATACTCCCTCTGAATACAAATGAGATTATTTCAGGAACAGTCGTAGCGAGGAAGTGTGCAAACTTTTAAAGAGAACAGGAGGAGGAGGAGGGTGTTTTCAAGCAGTAGGAGACGAAGGTAATGCTACAACTTGTGGGGAAAACTTGCGTGATTCAGCGGCTAAAACACACATTTAATTCATGAAAACCAACTGAAAACACTTTCATCTGAATTACTCGTGAGCGGGGGACTCCTGCGTCTCGTGTTCAGGCGGTAAAGAGACACTTTTTATAATTGTATTGCCTTTAAAACACAGATTCACTTTCCTTTCAGGTTAGTTTTTCATACACTCGTGTGATTTGACAACAAATAAAACACCCGTCTCGTTAAAGTGCTGTACGTAACTTTGAGAACTGTCTTACAGCGGGACTATGTAACTTTTAGAAGATGTGACACAATATTATTATTCATTATAAGCCTCGATGAAACACTTGTGCTACTCTTAACAACGCTGCAAGTCGTCATTATTGTAACTATTTTTGACTAAGTGATCTCGTGATTTTATGCGATCAAGTCACCCGAATATATTCAATTTAATGTCAAATTTGAGATGTGAAACCCGTCAACTTTGCCGTCAATAACCCAAATTATTTTTTATTTACTGTCAGTGAAAGTTTTAAAAAGCGGTAAAATGTAAACTTTGAAGAAGCTGGAAGACGGGAATTTGGGCTTTTTTGATAATAAAAAGACAGAGGATTCATTGATTATCAAAATGGATGCTGTTTTATTTTGTGACGGTTGATTAAATAGTGATTTTTCAGTTACTCGATTGACTTGATTGTTCAAAAGTTACATAGCCCCGCTTTAAAGGAGTTTAACTTCATAAACATTCAATGTCTTGGTAACACACAAATGAATACAGAGTAAGACAAATGGTGGATTATTAGGTTATTAATTATTTGGAAATCTAGATATTAAAGTGGTCATTTTAAGTCTTTTATAAGGGTTTTACTGCACTAAGTACTTCTCAAAGCTCAGAGTGTTTCAGAGGTTTTCTTCAATAACTAAGACTTAATATTCTAAGAGAGTATTTTAAAGACATTTTGAATTCACAACAAGTTTCTGGTGAATTATTGATATAATTATTGATATTTGTACCGTAATATGACCCTCATGTTTGATTTCTTATAGCTACAATAACAGTAATACGTACGTGAAGAAGACACATGTGAATACTTTAAAAAAAAAGGCCTTAAAGAGACGTTGAAGGACAGAAATCATCCACAAACTGAGGATTTAAGAGGTTTTTTCGGACACATTTATGACTATAATCTCAGAGAGTATTCTAAATATTTTCTTGAATTTACTTTTTTAAACTCAAGAGTAATTTAGAGTTGTTCCTCACACATGTATGTCTTTAAAGTCTCAGAGAATATGTTTTAAAATCTTGTTTATTTACTAATTTAATCTCAGACAATATTTAAGTTTTTCTCTGATAAATGATTATTTTGTTGTTCCAGTAGTATGACCGCTACACACCTTATAAAGCAGACACAGGAAAACTTTAAAAAAACTTGACAGAGATGAAGATGACTGTTAGAACATCGCTGTGAAAGATGTTAGTTGTAGAAGTCGCAATTTCAATTAAAAACAGTAACGCGAGACGGACGCTGCGTTGTCAGTGTCGACACATGCTAACACACATCATGTGAGTACAATCTTCAGAGTCACAGAAAGGCCTTTAAAGTGAACTCCTGCAGAGCGAGGCGCACACAGCGTCACAGGAGGAGGAGGAGGAGATAAAACTCAAATAAAACATCTCAAGGTGAGAACGAGCCTCGTCTTCCTCTCGGCGTCCGTCAAAAGCGATGAGAAGTGAGTCTCTTCTGGCGTTTCATGCTTTTTAAATGTCAGCCTGTGATTGTCCGGCACATTCCTCGTGTTCCTTCATGCAGGGAGCCTGTGATCCAGGAGGAGGTCTTGCTCTGAGGGTAAAGAAACGTCTGCACTCCTGTGAGGTGCTGCATCCTGAAACCTCCTCCAAAACATCCACACAGCAGGACAGGAGCTTGTTTATTAGTAAACAGTTGTTGTGTTGGTGTTACTGCTCGGTGGGACACACGGTGCGGTCTTTGCAGCAGAAGTAATGCACCACCACGCCGTTTGGGTACCTGGCAAACGCACTGCAGAGAGGAAGAGATAGTTAGATACAGGGCTTCATGTTGATGCTGAACAGCAGATAAAAAAATCTTAATTAAGAGAGGACATTTTAAATGAAGAATACTGTTATTTTACACCAGGAATGTCATAATGAGGTTTGATGATAACCCTTCTAGGAAAGACACTTCAGTGAGTGTAAAATGATAAGTTATTTGTCATGAACTCATATTTTGAAAGGGTTTTAAGGGCTGAAACTTCACTGAAACTAAGACTACATCAATAACTATATAATTAAATGGTTGAAAAACCTATTTTGTATTTGGAAGCTTATTTATTTATGTCTTTATATGGATATAAGGACCATGCATTATTACATTGCATTTAGCTGACGCTTTTATCCAAAGCGACTTACAATAAGTGCATTCGACCAAGAAGATACAAACTTGAAGAAAACAATCATATAAGTAATCCCTACTTATATGATTGTTTTCTTCAAGTTTGTATTATGTATGTAGAAATTATTAAAGACCGTGGTACCGTTAAGCTCCGAGAGATCTCTCTCCCCCGTCTGTGTGTGAGGGGGCGGGGCCGTTTACACACACGCAGCTGCTACATGCAGCAACACACACACACACACACACACACACACACACACACACACACGGCGGAGAGAACGCGCTCCGAGGTGTGGTTAAACTTTACCCGTCTCGCTCGTTGCCAAAAGTGCAATAAGAGTTTAGCATGTCAGGGCGGTAACACGAGCAATTTGTCTAAACATTTAGCAAAAGTGCTCCACATCCAGACGGAGAAATGCAACGGGTTCGACTGTCTTTCTAGCAGCTCTGTAGCCCCGTCCACGAGTAACGTTTCCACGTCAGGTGTTATGTATGCTAGCAGCAACACACGGAGCTAACTCAATGATACAAACATGGGTTAATGATTAGAGGTAAATTAGTTATTTATTTTGTTAAAGTTTCAGCTATTCTGTTTACAGTTCTGTCATCAGATTATTTAATACGATTTGTTAAAACATTGTTGTTTCTTTTGATGTGAAATATTATTTATTGAATTTTTTTTGTTTAGTTAATTTACCTTTTTTTTTCTTCAAAAGAACCGATAAGAGTACCGTTAAAGGACCGGATCGATAAGCGTTATCAATAAAACTAGTAGCACCATTAAAACCTTAACGATACCCATCCCTAAAGTACATACAAGTACATCAGGTTTCATAGAGCCAAAACATTTCAAGTGCTACTCAACAGGCTTTAGATAAGCCAGTCCTTAGTTAGTATATAAGTGCTTTGTTAGTAATTCTATCGCTCGAAGTGGAGTCGAAAGAGATGAGTTTTCAGTCTGCTCTGGAAGATGTGTAAGCTTTCTGCTGTCCTGATGTCAATGGGGAGCTCATTCCACCATGTTGGAGCCAGGAGAGCAAACCCACATGTTTTTGCTGATGGGAACTTGGGTCCCCCTCGCAGTGCGGGTGCAGCGAGCCGTTTGGCTGATGCAGAGCGGGGTGCACGTGCTGGGGTGTACGGTTTAATTGCATTAATCTCAGAAAAGAGATGATTTATTCCAGATTTGAGCTAATAGCTAATAGCTAATATCCATCTGCTGTCTTTAGGCTTAATGTCACAGTAAGTACATTTATCCCAAATCAAACATCATTAAAAGTCATTTAAATGTATTTGTGTACATATTATTATTTTATGAATTCCAGTTTATTTATTTTGTCTCCACCTTCTTAAGACAAGGTTGAATAATGATACATTTTAATAAAAGTGAAAAAATAAGGATTAGGAAAAACAAATATATAATACAAAAATTGATAAATGAATGCTTTTTAAGAATTAAATAGTTAGAGTGCATACATGAGTAACACATGCGTCACTTCCGGGCAAAAATGACGGCTCCGCCCACTTTTGGGGGAAAACAACGCTGTCATTTGAATGGCGATCGAGCCTGAAGCCACAGAGCTCTTCTGTTACTGTCCTTTGTTCTTAGAGGAAGTACAGAAACACTGAACTCTGGATTTGTTTTAATGTTTGAGGTGCAATAAACGACCCAGCAGCTTGTTGGCATGATACAACTATTATTTTCCGCCTCGCTCATGAGAGTAACAGCTGGCGAAATTACGGCCTCGCCTACTGATTTTAATTTAACCATATATCGAGCCTGATCGTCGATTTCCAATGATTTAATGTGATTGTTTGCCTGACCGGCCATCGTAATCGGGCTCTTTGAAGATCCAAAAATCCACGGTTTTCTTAATTTCTGATCGGATTGGCAAAAACTTCAGAATTGGTATCGACCGCCGTTCAAATGACAGCTTTGTTTTCCCCCAAAAGTGGGCGGGGCCGTCATTTTCGCCCGGAAGTGACGTAGGTGTTACTCTCATCTATACTGTTATTCATAAAGAATGGTAGAAAAAGGAATAAAGGATAATAATTTGTTACCTGTTTCCAATCTTCTTCTTGCAGACTCGGCAGGTCTTCTCCTCGGTGATGACACACTTCGCCTGCTGGTGGAAGATCCTCTCCTCCTGCACCTGCAACATCGAGACAGAGGAGTAAAAAAAAAAACAGCTTAATATATTGTTTTTATGGAAAAGAGTGAGCTGTAAATGTTCCAGAGTCTCACCCGGAGGAACTCTGCCTGCAGCAGGCTCTTCAGGACCTGGTTGCAGCGTTTCCTCTGAGCCTTCTCCTCCAGGACGCTCTCCAGGAACACGCGGATCTCTCTGATCTGAGTGTTAGCCGGGAGCAGGTTGATGGCCTGGGAGGAAAGCAACAAGTATTGGTTTGTCAGAGAGTGTTGAGCAGACTTTAGGAGTTTCAGTATTAGCAGGGACTTTAAAGAGCTGGGAGAGCGGTCACCAATCATGGTCAATCTGGGGGTTTACATTACCCACAATGCATTTCAGTCATGCATTTGGTGCAGGAGAATAATATCTATCGTTGTGCAAGGCAAGTTTATTTTTATGGCAAATGTGATGTCTTATGGCTGCAAAAGCATTAAGACATAGTGCAAAAGAAACACATTCTAAAATCATACTTTAATACATTTAATAACGGTGATGAAGAAGCCAAGAGACTAGACATTAGAACAAGAGAGAATAAGAAAGGTATAAAATACAAGAACAACATTGACAGGATGTGAAAACGAATTTGATTTAGGTGGTAGTTATCAGAATCCTTCCATCAGAATAAACAAGTTAGTTTATGAAACTAATATAGTGGGTAGACAAAGGCCCAATCCCAAACCACGCCCTACCCCTCCGTGACGGAGTGAACTCCATGGAGTGACACTCGCAGCTCAACGAGGCTCCCTCCTGTCAGATGGAGGGAGTAAATACAGCGGCAAGCTTTGGGACAAACTCCCCTCTCTCCGGCAGAAACAGGAAATGCCGTAACTGTATGTAACAACGGTTTCAAATCAGCATCTCTTTGACAAAAAATAAAAATGAATAACTAAAATAAAACTCCAAACATCTTTAATTGTGTTACTTTTTTGTAAAGCTCTTTTAGTTTTAAACCTGATGTTTATAAGCTTCTTAGTTTTTGCAACAGTCTGTAAATATACACAACTTTATAATAAAATGCACACATTTACCTTTTTCTAGACTAAACACAGGTATGATCCTAAGTTACAAATATATGAGGTTATCATGAGGTTGTTAACATCGCAATTTATCAGTGGATGTTTGCTAGAACTACTTGTTAACAGCGTGTTTCCTGACGGACACACAGCGTTGAGTCCGGTCAGGTAGAGACCGGTCTCAAGTCAGCACCGATGCAGACTCGCTGTTTGAGCGCTTGATAGCCCACTCCCCCTCCACACTGCTCCACACTCGTTGGTTTGGAACAGCACTTAATGAGGCGGACCCTCCGCGCGAACGCGCAAACGGAGGGGTAGTGTGTAGGGGTAGGGTGTAGGGGGTGGTTTGGGATTGGGCCTGAATGTGGGATTAGGATTGCATTCTGAGAAAGACTCCAGAGTAGAGTTGGAGTACATTTAGCAGAAAATAGCAAATAAATAAGAAGAAACTTGGATGGATCTGAGAAATAAAGTGATTACATTTAGAGATAAATTATTGGGAGTTTTAGCAGTAAATCCAGCGTCCTTTTATTAACTCACTTATTATTATGGAATTTGAAGCTTTAACTTTAGGTACATGTTGATAATAACACTTTTACTGAGGTTACATTTTGAATGCAGGATATTTACAGAGTATTTCCATACTGTATTGTTACTCTGTTTACTTTTACTTCTTCCACCACAGATCAATATTTAAATTAGCCACACGACAAACATTTGGCTGCTGTTTGTTTTGAACTCCCTCCCTGTTAGGCCTAGGCTCCATGGGAACGAAAACGGGTTGTATCCGCATATTTCTCTTGCGTATAGCCCTTTAAGCTACACGACGCCGTAACGGAACCGTAGAAACGGACCCTGCAAACGACAACGGGTCCAAAGGTGGATAGATCTGGGAACGGAGCGCTCTGGGGGGTCCAACGGGGCCGTGTGGTCGCCTATACGGTCATCCGTTTCTGATAATGACGACGCAATAGCCCCGCCTCTCCCCACCTCTGCTGCTCACCCCCGCAAAAGTACACTGCACACTGAATTCAGATTATTTATCTTTATCTCGATATGGACATAAACGCGAGTGAAGTCTAATCTGACTGGACGGAGACACGCAGCTGTGATGCAGCGGGAGCAAAACACACACTTCAAGTCAGATCACCACCCTTAGCTATTTTAATTACCTCTCAAACTACCTAAACTAGTTATAAATATGTTTATTTTTACTGTCGGGTTTACTTACTGGATCAGCTGCTGCATGAGGAAGCATGAAGATTTAAACTTTAACACACGTTGACCGGCGAAAAACTCTGCCCGGTTCCGTCGGCCCCCACCGCGGAGAATAAACAGAAGTGCAGCCATGACAACCATTCTTCTTCGCTGCTTTTGTGGAGGAAGTTGCTGCTTTTGTGGAGGAAGTTACAGCGCCACGTACAGGCTCGGCATATGTACTGCAGCTTTTCCAGCGGTTGGATGTAAACGGAGCCGTCTCGTGTAGCTTGACACAATCCGGTGTATATTGCGTGGGGACGGAAGCTTTTTGGCGTTTGTGTTAATCCTATGCGTTTTGCCGTATGCGTTCCCGTGGAGCCTGGGCCTTAGTGTGTGTGTGTGTGTGTGTCAGTGTGTGTGTGTGGCCTAGCATTACTATCCTTGTGGGGACCTAAATCTGTTTACACAGTCACGTGTGGGGACTCGTCTCCCTTATGGGGACATAATGGAGGTCCCCATGAGGGGGATCATTAATTTTAGGGTGAAGACTTGGTTAGGGTTAGGGTTAGGCATGTGTTGGTTATGGTTAAGGTTAGGATAAGTCTCCAGGAAATGCATGTAAGTCAATGTAAGTCAATGTAATGTCCCCTGAAGTGATGTATACATGGTATGTGTGTGTGTGTCAGTGTGTGAGAAAGGCATCGCTGATCTGTATTCAACTCGCAGGCCTTTCAGAATAAGAGTCTCTCAGTGGTTTTATTGGTGTTTTGTTCAGAAGCTCTCTCTGTTGTCTCTCTCTCTCTCTGCCTCTCTTTCTCCCTCATTGACTTTAATGTCTCTCTGCTTTCATTTCCTCGAGCCGCACTCCCACACTCAGACCCGACTGTACAAAACTCCTGGGAAAACTTCCAACAGGAAGCTTTTTGTGTGTGTCGGTCAATTTTGTATCTTTCATTTGTCTAAAGATTTAATTTAAGATGATATTCAAATGTCAAATGTTCTCAAGTAATGTAGTTATAATTTAGTCTATATAAGGCCTACAGATAGAGCAGCTATTTTCAGACTCCAGCTTACTGCTACCTGCCTGCTTCCTGCCAGCTACCTGCCAGCTACCTGCCAGCTACCTGCCTAAGACCTGCCAAAGACCAGTATCTGGGAATGTTAAGCCCTCCCACTATTTTCCAAGAGGGCGTTGCCAGATTTTCAATTTCAGGATTTAACCAGGAGATGGCGCTTCATTCACAAAAACAGGAAGACAACTTTCATGGACTTTCAGTTTTGTTTAGAAGAGCATTTGAACACATCAATATTTTAGATCAAATAAAGTATATCTAATCTTGTAATTCAATAATATATAGTCCCCTTTCAATGTCCCATGTATGTCCCTTGCAAAGTCCAGACGGGCACGTTTTTTTCCTCGAATAAATGTTTTGTTCTTTAAGCCCTTCTCTCGCAGATACCGTCTTATGGTTATTGGGCTGCAGTCATTCGTAACGGCCTTAATTTGAGTTGAGGATTGGCCTGTGTCTTTACAGACAGCCCGTAGCACAGGTGAATTTTTTTTGCGTCTTGTTTGTTTGTAGCCTTTATTTAACCAGGTTAAAAAATCCCATTGAGATCAACGATCTCTTTTTCAAGGGAGACCTGCGGTACATTGGTTACACATAAAAACAACAGAAAACAAAAAGGACATCACAACATAATTACAGGGGTATAAATTAGCAACCTATTCACAATGACAGGTATCTAATAACATTTCATCCAGCCGCGCTTTAAAATGATGCAAGGGAATCAAAATGCTCAGTTTCAAAATGTTTTGCATGGTGTTCCAAGCTAGAGGAGCAGCGCACATAAAAGCTTTAGTACCTAAAACAGTCCTAACACTTGGCACATGTAATAAAAACATATCCTGGGATCTCAGGCAATAGCTACTTGCCACTCTCTGTGAGATCAAAGAGCAGATATAAGTTGGGAATTTACCCAACATGGCTTTATAGATAAACATGTACCAGTGACTGAGCCTCCGTACAGTAAGTGAAGGCAGACCTGCCTTGGCATACAGGGTACAGTGATGAGTGGGTACTTTACAGTTTGTAACAAATCTCAGAGCACTGTGATAGGCGGCATCTAACCTTTCCAGGCAATGCATTCATATATATCAAATCACCATAGTCCAGCACAGCTAAAAAGGTCACAGTGACTAGCCTTTTGCTGGCTTCAAAAGAGAAACAGGACTTGTTTCTGAAAAAGAAACCTAGTCTAACCCTCAGCTTTTTAAGCAGATTAATGACCTGAAGTTTAAAAGTAAGACAATCATCAAGCCAGATACCAAGGTATTTATAACAGGTAACCACTTCGAGTACTTGTCCTTGCATAGTAACAATATCCAAAGCAGTCTCTGGAGTCTTTTTAGCTTTAGAAAAGAGCATTACCTTGGTTTTCTCAACATTTAAAAGAAGCTTAAGCTCAGCGAGCTGAGTCTGAATAATGTTAAAAACAGCCCGTAATTTAACAACCGCCTCCTTAATGGAGGGACCTGCACAGTACATCACAGTGTCATCCGCATAAAAATGCAAAGTAGCTTCATCCACATTTTCACCTAAACTATTGATGTAGATGGAGAATAAAAGTGGACCTAAAACAGAACCTTGAGGAACACCATTAGCAATGTTCAACCACTCAGAAGACAGCCCATCAAAGTGAACCCATTGGGACCTTTCAGAGAGGTAGTTCACAAACCACCCCACTGTATGGCTGGATATGCCAATACTGAGTAGCCTCTGCTTTAAGATGCGATGATCGACGGTGTCAAACGCTTTGGAAAGGTCAATAAATAGAGCTGCACAACTCTGCTTTTTATCTAAAATACTTGTAATGTCATTCACCACTTTCATTGTGGCAGTGATGGTGCTATGTTGCTTTCTGAAACCTGACTGATGTTTAGACAGGATGTCATTGTTACATAAAAACTCCTTTACTTGTTCACTCACTAGGCGTTCAAGAACCTTAGCCGGAACTGACAATTTAGAGATTGGCCTATAGTTATTTAAAACAGTTGCCTCCCCTCCTTTTAGTAGTGGCGGGACATACGCTGACTTCCATACTTTAGGAATTGTGTTTGTGCTGAGGGAGAGGTTAAAAAAAAAAAGAATAGTTGTTTCTTTTAAACAAACCAACGTTGCAGAAGAAGAGAGCTTCCCAGACCCACCACAGTGTTTGTCTGTCTGCTAATGAGAAGCCCCTCTTCCTCCTCCTCTTCCTCCTCCACCATGTTCAACTGCTCTTCACCACAATAGGAGTCCATGAAGAGGAATTCCCATTAAAAAGGTCCCAAACAGACAAATCTGTACCCGAACAAACATCCTGAAGCTACAGGTCGCTGCAGCCGGATCATTATTCTGTTAAAACGTCCCAAAAACGTATAAAATCGCATATTTTTCAACCTTGATTTTGTGAAGGAATCAGTAAAAGGAATATTCGGAGTCACAGTTTCCTGATAAAGCTTTGGAGAGGATGCGTTCCTCTTTAAATTTGCTTTGGACATGTAGTTACACTTAAGGTTTCAAATGGTCTTCACTGGTTAAGGGTCGATGTCCCCAAGTTCACTTCCAGAGAAATGGAAGGAAACTTCAGGATGTGATTCCCTCGAGGGAAAGAGCCGAGAGACGTTCAACGCCTCATGAATATGGATTAGCACCTCATATAACCCGACTTCAAATAATGCAAATGACCCCTTTAAGGGAAGTCTTCTTTACTAGAGAACAGGCTCAACAAGAAAAATAGGTCTTGAGCCGGTTTTGTACATAACAGCTTTTTATGCAAATTGTCTCTCTTCTGTTTTTCAGGTATTTGAAAGTATAAGAAAACAATTTTATAAAAGATTTTCACGTGTCTCTCGGGGGAGATCTGCTCCCTTGTTCTATCAGAAAGCAGCAGCTCGACTGCAAACCCCTGTAGTCTCGCTGTAAATACCAAACTAAATTAAATCTTTCTGTTCAGTTCATTCACTGCTTTAATTTCACGCTAAATGACTCATTTTGTGTGAGTTCCTGTCATTATTAATCATGTTGTTCCATCTCATCTCTTTTAATTGAGCCCTCTCTTATCTGTCCCACTTTCATGTTTTTTCTGAATTGACAAATCAAGTTATAATAACAAATCCCTGGGTTGAGTTAGAAACTAATGAATGCTTTGTGTATTAAGAGCAGGCTTGAGAACCAGATGGAGTTCAACAAGTGCGACAACTTTTGTGCTTGTGTCAGAAAAACGTTGGCAGCTTCACAACAGTTTAAGTGCTTTTCTGTGATAACTTCCTGTCACAGTTGATGCTGTTTTTATGCACTGAACATATGTTACACTGTTGTTGTTAAAGCCAGGCTCGCACTGCAGGAGTTTAGAAATCCTTACCGTATTTAAAATCTGGTTGCAACTGCAAGGATTATCTCGTCTCTAATCTGAAACATGCACACTTTGCAAGATATGAAAATAATGGCGCATCACACAGGATATTATTAGGTTATCGCTCCACAGGGGGATCGTACGGAGAAGCACATGTAAGCAAAAATAAAGACTGACGTGGTGCAACAACGAGCTGCAGTAAAGCTCTGCAGGAATAAAACAAAGAAGGATTCTGGATGTGAACACTGGTCTTCAGCGAGAACTGGAGGTGAGATAAGAGCCGTCAGTTTTAATCCCCATCAACAGGAGTATGCTAGCTTACGTTATAATACCTCTTATTTAAATTGTTCCCAATGGAGCTGCCTCAAAGTAGCTTATTTTCTTCTGAATGCACCACATCTTTTCAGAAAAGAGACAGTAATGTGACGGTAGAAAATGGACGTGAAGCTACATTTTGTCCCCGTCTGCATCATAACAACCACCGAATTGTACATTGTCTAATTGAGTGGTGATAAACATGTTTTGTGGACACAGCGCCTAATTATCCAGATTTGAATTCCTAAATATCAAAACATATTTGCAATTAAAACGGCAACAATGAGTCACTGAGAAGTTCAGGGGGTTTAAGACTGGATCTGTTAACTTCTCACATTAACACATCATCTGGGCCAAACATCAGTCACAACCAAGGAGTTTTCCTCCAGCTATAGGGAAAGTGTATCGGGTATAAATCTGCTGAACACCTTCTGTTCTGTCTACAGTGTTGAGTTTGCTGTGGTGTGTGCACCTTGGTGGAGTTGAGCTTGTTGTGGTGTTTTTACCTTGGTGGTGTTGAGCTAGCTGTAGTGTGTTTACCTTGGTGGTGATGAGCTTGCTGTGGTGTTTTTACCTTGGTGGTGTTGAGCTAGCTGTGGTGTTTTTACCTTGGTGGTGTTGAGCTAGCTGTGGTGTGTGTACCTTGGTGGTGTTGAGCTAGCTGTAGTGTGTGTACCTTGGTGGTGATGAGCTAGCTGTGGTGTGTGTACCTTGGTGGTGTTGAGCTAGCTGTGGTGTTTTTACCTTGGTGGTGTTGAGCTAGCTGTGGTGTGTGTACCTTGGTGGTGTTGAGCTAGCTGTGGTGTTTTTACCTTGGAGGTGTTGAGCTAGCTGTGGTGTTTTTACCTTGGTGGTGTTGAGCTAGCTGTGGTGTGTGTACCTTGGTGGTGTTGAGCTAGCTGTAGTGTGTGTACCTTGGTGGTGATGAGCTAGCTGTGGTGTGTGTACCTTGGTGGTGTTGAGCTAGCTGTGGTGTTTTTACCTTGGTGGTGTTGAGCTAGCTGTGGTGTGTGTACCTTGGTGGTGTTGAGCTAGCTGTGGTGTTTTTACCTTGGTGGTGTTGAGCTAGCTGTGGTATTTTTACCTTGGTGGTGTTGAGCTAGCTGTGGTGTTTTTACCTTGGTGGTGTTGAGCTAGCTGTGGTGTTTTTACCTTGGTGGTGTTGAGCTAGCTGTGGTGTGTGTACCTTGGTGGTGTTGAGCTTGCTGTGGTGTGTTTACCTTGGTGGTGTTGAGCTAGCTGTGGTGTGTGTACCTTGGTGGTGTTGAGCTTGCTATGGTGTTTTTACCTTGGTAGTGTTGAGCTAGCTGTGTTGTTTTTACCTTGGTGGTGTTGAGCTAGCTGTGGTGTTTTTACCTTGGTAGTGTTGAGCTAGCTGTGGTGTGTTTACCTTGGTGGTGTTGAGCTAGCTGTGTTGTTTTTACCTTGGTAGTGTTGAGCTTGCTGTGGTGATGAGCTAGCTGTGGTGTTTTTACCTTGGTGGTGTTGAGCTTGCTGTGGTGTGTGTACCTTGGTGGTGTTGAGCTTGCTGTGGTGTTGAGCTAGCTGTGGTGTTTTTACCTTGGTGGTGTTGAGCTTGCTGTGGTGTTTTTACCTTGGTGGTGTTGAGCTTGCTGTGGTGTGTTTACCTTGGTAGTGTTGAGCTAGCTGTGTTGTTTTTACCTTGGTGGAGTTGAGCTAGCTGTGGTGTTTTTACCTTGGTGGTGTTGAGCTTGCTGTGGTGTTTTTACCTTGGTGGTGTTGAGCTTGCTGTGGTGTGTTTACCTTGGTGGAGTTGAGCTAGCTGTAGTGTGTTTACCTTGGTGGTGTTGAGCTAGCTGTGGTGTTTTTTACCTTGGTGGTGTTGAGCTTGCTGTGGTGTTGAGCTAGCTGTGGTGTGTTTACCTTGGTGGTGTTGAGCTTGCTGTGGTGCAGCTCCAGGACATGTAGCGCCGCCTGCAGGTTGGCTTGAGGCTCCGACAGCTCCATCTTGATCGGCCCCAGGCAGTGAACATCAGGAGGGGAAAGGTACATCCGCAGCAACGACAGATACACCTGCAGGGAGGAAATATCAAGTTCAAGGTACAAGGCTTTTATTAGTCATACGTACATAGTTACAGTGTAGTTATGACGATGAAAATCTTAGGTCACAGGCCCCACCAACAGTGCATATATATATATATTAGAGTCATTGATATATCACTTGACCAGAAATGCGTCATGAGAATACTGATGAAGCAGCATAAAATCATGCAAGACAAAAATTCACCTAAAAAAACAACTATCAAGGATTTTACAGAATTGAAAAACAGGATAAATATACCGAAACAGCATAAGACAAGATATAACATTTGCCCACATTACAGCAGAAAAAAACTTAGATAAGAAACCAGACAAGAAATGATTAATAATTGTAATAGAAATTGTACATTTGAAGGTTTATGCACTAGACTCTAAACTGCATTTTGTTGTCTCGGTACTCAACGACAATACATTCTTCTTATCTAATCAAACAATACAAAATGATATACTTAAAGTTTCAGGAACCTACCTGACTAAGAACATGGTGACTTTAAATACAGAAGTAGCTGGACATTTGGGAAATTATGCTTTAGCTAAACGTAAAAACGTTAGATTTAAAACAAGAGTGAAGTAGCAATAGCTGCAATGAAATTAGCATATGTATCCATGCATACACACACAACCGCACAAACATTTGACATTGATATACCATGCAACGGTCTGAGAAATAGCTCAAAAATATGTACATAAATAACATCTTAATAACTGAACTGAAGCTATGTTGGTAGTCTAGCTCTTTCCCAGTCTTCATGCTAAGAATGCTTGAAATTAGGCTATTGGGCTTTTTTTTAAATTAAAAGTGGACTTTACACACCGGCATCTATTAAGGATTTCATTACTTTCTGACCTTCAAAGAAACAGCATTGATTCATTGATTTTTTCCTCCAACCAAACACTTGTTCACTCATTTTGACTTCTTTCATTTTGGTGTTTACTTGAAAATTCAAGCTACTTTTCAGACAAACATCAGACAACAACTCATATTCATGACGAATAAGGCTGTCTGTAGAGTTGTGTGCCTGTCATCTGGAAAGATAAATAATCCATTATATTTGTGAAGCTCTTTCTGAAGGTACTTAACCGTAAGAAGCCGAGTGTACATAATGAGAAAAGTGGTCATGAAACAACACAATGAAATCCAAGAGAACGAAGGTTAGAGAAACATATTGTCTCATCTGGAACATGAACAAAATGGAACAAAACATTAAAAGCTCCTTACATCTTTGTTCCCTTCCTCTGAACTGCTGTAGTGGCTGTGACAGTATCTGCAGAGAACAGAGGAAACATGAAAACATATTTATTTCTATAAAGCTCACAGCGCTGTAACAACATAGTGAGGATGACTGCGTAAAGTCAAAGCATCTTTCTGTCTTAGGGCGCATTCACACCAGCCGTTTATAGTCCGGTTGAATCGAACCCTGGTGCGTTTAGCCGCTTGGTGTGGTTCATTTGGGTCGGTGTGAACACAGTCCGAGACCTCTTAAGTGAACTAAACAACCGGACTCTGGTCCACTAAAATAGGTGGTACGATACGATACGATATACTTTATTGTCCCCGTAAGGAAATTTGTTCTGGACTCCGTCCTGCAGTGCATACATGTACATATACAAACATAGTGGACATTAAGAGACATACACATATCATCAGTCATACACCGTTTGAACAAACACAATACACACACGTACATACTGACAATGGCGACTATTGCACAACCCTCATGGCCAACACATGGTGGTCTCGGAACGCTTGCTTGCGAACTCTGGAGCGGTTCATTGCTGGTGTGAACGCAGTCCGCACCAAAACATAGGAAGCGTAGTATTTACGTGTCACAAGAACGCGGGTGTCTTCATTTCTTTAGTGAAAGAGTGAAGCAGAATGATGTGTTGAACAGTGTCGTGTAAAGTAAAAACAACTATCAAACTAAAAACTATACATAAAAGTCAGAGCCACCTGCCGCCGGTGAAACCCCCTCCTTACTGCAGAACGTCTCTCATTATATGTGTTATAATGTTTTGTATCGCACGTTGTCTGATTATATAATCATATGCGCCGTTGCTGTTGATATGCTCTCCAGATTAACAACAGCATGAAAATAACCTGCCGATGCTCCATGGTGGAGGCTCCGGTAGAAATTGCCGGGATTTGCGTTTTTACCCCCTTAAAAGGTGGGGTAGGTAAGTTTGAGAAACCGGCTCGAGATACACTTTTTGTTATATTCCATGGAATGCTCTTAACATCCCGATATCAATGAATATCTTAAGTGCTTTGACAAAAAAATCCATAAAAGAATGTCATCTGTGGAAGCCGTAATACTGTAAAAAGTACGACCAATCATTTTAGCCGGCCTGGCTAAAATAACTGGATGGCCTACCTGCCTGTCAGCCTTCCATCTGTGCACAAACTTATCTCGTGCCCTCATTGGTCATGTGCGCGTTCGTGTGTGTTGGAGGAGGGGCTCTGTCAGGAAGTGGCAGATTTTTTCCGGCTGTGTATTTTCAAATTCTAGCGAACTCGAGCTGGTTTCTCTGAAATTACCTACCCCACCTTTAATGTCTGACCAATTGTTGAACAGCATTTCCGAGCACATGACTTGTGTTTAAAATGTATAGTCCGTTTGAGTTTTGCCCGTGTGAACGCAAACCGAACCTTCTGAAAAATGAAACAATGCAACAAACTGTCGTCTGGTGCGCACCAGAGAAGCGGACTATTAGGTGTGAATGCACCCTTACAAACAAAGAAACAAATGACAAACTTTGTCACAAATGTACAGTTTCAGACCGTTTAACATTCAGAAAATTATATCTAATCATTAGCAGTGGTACTTAAGTATAATTTTGAGGTACCTGTACTTTACTTGAGTATTTCTATTTCCTGCTACTATACTTCTACTCCACTGGTACTTATTTGGAAGATTCAGATTCAGATAAATAGTGCAATATCTTACCACCAGATCATTTATCATGTAGGCTTCGTATTATTATTATTATTAGAGGTAGAGATTAAACTACTACAACTGTTTTTATTTCATTGTTTGGAAAGGAGAAAGTTACAGAGCAGGGGAGAATTGTAATATTCTGAGAAGAACTCCAGAGTTGGAGTATATTTAGAAGAAAATAGCAAATAAATAAGATGAACCTTGGAAATGTCTGAGAAATAAAGTGATTACATTAAGAGATGAATTGTTGGAAATGCATCAGTAAATCTACATCCAGAATGACTAAGATTAAAATGGAATTTCTCTCTGTAAAAAAGCAGTAAAATCTAATAGAAAAAAATGAAAAAGTACCTAAAAAACCTTCAGACATTTGAGACTATTGATTATTATAAAATGTTGAAACTTTAACAATAGGTTTATTTTAATGGTAATACTTTTACTGAGGTTACAGTTTGAATGCAGGACATGTACTTGTACAGTAACAGAGTATTTCCACCCTGTGTTGGTACTCCGTTTACTTTTACCTCTTCCACCACACATCAATATTAAATATAAAATGAGCCACTGGACAAACATTTGGCTGCTGTTTGTTGTGAACTCCCTTCCTGTTCATCTGCAGGATGGTGTGTTTGTCTGTTGGAGTGAGTGTGAGAGAGAGTGTGTGTGTGTGTGTGTGTGTGTGAGTGTGTGTGTGTGTGTGTATGTGTGTGTGAGTGTCTGTGAGTGTGAGTGTGAGTGTGAGTGTGTGTGTGCAGGAGGACTCACTCTTCAGCCATGTGTGTGTGTGTGTGTGTGTGTGTGTCTGTGTCTGTGTGTGTGCAGGAGGACTCACTCTTCAGCCATGTGTATGTATGTCTGTGTGTGTGTGTGTGTGTGTCTGTGTCTGTCTGTGTGTGTGTGTGTGCAGGAGGACTCACTCTTCAGCCATGTGTGTGTGTGTGTGTGTGTGTATGTGTCTGTGTCTGTGTGTGTGCAGGAGGACTCACTCTTCAGCCGTGTGTGTCTGTCTGTCTGTGTGTCTGTGTGTGTGTGTGTGTATCTGTCTGTGTGTGTGTCTGTGTCTCTGTGTCTGTGTGTGTGTGTGTGTGTGTGTGTGTGTATGCAGGAGGACTCACTCTTCAGCCATGTGTGTGTCTGTCTGTCTGTCAGTGTCTGTCTGTGTGTGTCTGTGTGTGTGTGTATGACGACTCACTCTTCAGCCATGTGTGTGTCTGTCTGTGTCTGTCTGTGTGTGTGTGTGTATGTATGTCTGTGTGTGTGTGTGTTTTTGTGTGTGTATGTATGTCTGTGTGTGTGTGTGTGTGTTTTTGTGTGTATGTGTGTGTATGTGTGTGCGCAGGAGGACTCACTCTTCAGCCATGTGTGTGTCTGTGTGTGTGTGTGTGTTTGTGTATGTATGTCTGTCTGTGTGTGTGTTTGTGTGTGTATGTGTGTATGTGTGTATGTGTGTGTGTGTGTGTGTGCGCAGGAGGACTCACTCTTCAGCCATGTGTGTGTCTTTCAGGATGTGCACGTAGATGAAGAGCGCCTGCTCGTGTTTCCCCATGCGACCCAGCAGCAGCGCCCGCTCCTCCAGCAGCCCTGAGGTCAAAGGGTGGGGTTTTTATTAACGGCTTAAAAACTAATATAACTTCACTAAAACCTTCCTCTATAACTGACAACATATGTACATGAGGTCATGGGAAACACATAAAACACTTTGTTCTATAACATTATCACAATAACACAGTTTTAAAGGATGCAGCCCCAATTTGTCTGTGTATGTCTATGTAGTGATGTATATCTGTGTATAAACTGTATATTAATGTATGTATACATGAGTGTAAATATGCATTTGTCTGCATATTTATGCTCGCCATCATACAAGCCTATTTATTTTATTTTTCCTTATTTTCTATTATTATTATTATTATTATTATTATTATTATTATTTTTTTTATTTCAGTTTAAAAATATATATTGTTATTCCTATTTTTATATTTTTATTTTACTATCTTAAAATGTTGTGTTTTGGTCTTGCATAGATCATTGTATTGTTTTTTCCTTAAAGGGGACCTATCATGCAAAATGCACTTTTTGATGTCTTTTATACATAACTATGTGCCCCCGGTGTGTCGGGGAACTCACGCAGCATCAGAAAATAAAACCCTCTCTCTTTTCCTCCGTACCCAAATATCTAAAAACGGGGCTACAACGGAGCTGATCCAGATTTGCGTCCGATATGACGTAATATCTGAAATGTGGACCCACGGCCCTATCAGAAACGTTGCTATCAGAAACAATGCCCGACTGTTTTGGACGTAATATGGTCGGTGTTTACATTAGCATGGCTAACACTCAGAGCTAACCTGTACTGGAGAGCATGTGTGTGAAGAAGCAGGAAATAAAAAGGAACTCACCTTGTGGTATAACCGGCAAGAGAGAAAGCCTTTGAGCTCCATACTGTTTCAGAAATAATCCTTGATAATCCATCATGCTATTGCCTACAAATAGCATGATAGGTGACCTTTAACCTTAGAGCACCCTTTAAAATTTGATTTTTTTATTCCAATTATTTGTATTTTCTTTTATGAAATCTTTTAATTTCTTTACGTTTTCAATTATTATCCTTGAATTCATAAAATACATCACAATAATGGGGAAAACATTACACAAAAGCAAATGTAAATGTTTGTTTTGACTCTGGCAATCAATCATTTATAAGAGCGGTTTAAATGATTATGACGTTGGTTTCACATTATCATAGGAGGGTCATACATTTAAATGTCAGCGTCTATAGACATTAAATTCCACATCCTGGTGAGTATTTGTCGAGCAAACAGAGGAGGCGCCTTCTCCTCAGAACTCACCGTCAAAGGGAAAATCACTGATGAGTCTGGATGGCTGGTAGCTGGTGGAAATATCCAGGAAGGACAGCAGCTTCTTCCTGAACTCGCCCAGATCCCCCTCCTCCTTCCCCGCAGACACAGGGGGAACTCCTGCAGAGACCACACATTGAGTTTAAGAAGAGTAACGTCTGTATAGAAGGAACTGAAACTGTCAGATTTCATCACTACGGGGGAGTTCAAGTCCATCTTAAAAGGACAGAGAACAAGAATCCATTGGTCGATGTGATTTCTATATCCCATAATTGAAGTCGTTTTAAATTGTGCCAGTTTTTAATGTTTTATAATAGCTGCTTTTATTTGCATATTGTTAGAGCCATTTTCATTTAATTATTATGGTCTGAATGTTAGGCTTAATAATAATATAAGGATTTAGATTAAACTTTCTTTTTGTGAGTCACACTATGGTTTAAAAGATATTAATTTAAGGCTCACTTATTTGTTATCAAATGTGCGCCAGGTATCACGTGCACGGCTAAATGCCTATATATGGTAGGTTGATAGGACATAGCTGATTGTGATGAGACGGGGAAGCGGTAAAGTCTTTTGACCGTGTTCTTTTTGGATACTGATAACTTTTATTTACTATGAAGCGACAGGGTATATGCAGGAATCCTGAAGTCAAATGTAAGACCTTTTAAGACCTTTTTTAAGACCCTTTCCATACATTTTAAGACCTCATCGCCACTTGGAGGTTTAACCGGTTACATTGGCGACACACTTTACCTCACATTGACTATATACAGTATTGATTGTCCTTCCTCCTTATCTTCCAACCATTTGGACGCAGACTTGCATTTCCCCATAACGATGTTGTTTAACAACCGGCGTAAACGGACCTTCGCACGCTATCAAGCAGTGAGCGTGCGATGTCCTGTTCAGATGACGTCACATCCAACGGGATGCCATAAATAAACTACACAGAATCACACTACACACCTACGCAATGATTACATTCAGGCACACTGTAGAATACAACCTCTTTGGACAATTTATATACTTATTGAAAACAAGCTACAAAATGTAATACCTTGGAAAATGCCGTTTAATACTTTTTAATAGCCTTAATTTTCGCTAAATTGATTTATCAACTTTTAATACTTTTTAAGACCCCGCGGACACCCTGAGCGAGGAAATGTGTCCTCCTGTTTCTATGCCGTCTGGACCAATGAATAAAGCTCAGCTGATTCAACAACGATCTCCGCTAAATTAGTTTGTAAACAAAGAGGCGCGTCAAAACCCACAACCCCGACAGAGAAGTGGCTATTAAATGTAGACACGGATTAAAACGCCACCACACATATTGACTGGTAAATGTGCCATTTCATTTGTGTTTTACAGCTGTATTCCTCTGCCTGTATTGTCTGTGTTTTATCTGTTGTGACTTTGTTCATGCTGCCCTTCTTGGCCAGGTCGCTCTTGGAAAATAGATTTTAATCTCAATGAGACTTTTACCTGGTTAAATATAGGATATATAAACATTGGACGATTCATCTGCAGACATTTTGATAATTGTTGGGGAAATATTTTCCAAGGCCCATAACTGTGACCCAGTGTATCAGTTCAAACTGTCCTGACTGAGCACACACACCTGTAACCTTGGCTGCTGTGCTCTCATTGATTTGTCTCCCTGTTCCTGCCTGTTGGCGTCAGCTGATAGAGGTGTTATGATTCTATCTTGTTACGCACAATGTTGATTATTCTCTCTGAACTAGCTAAATACACGGGTCTGGGGTAGAGATCTTCAGAATTGACGTGGCAACTCTACCGTGAAGTCAGAACCTCTGACTCTTTTGTGACTTGTTTTGTGAATTCTCCGGCCGAAGCTCCAAATAAACCCGTCAGTGTTTGCCATCAAAGCTCCAGCTCTCCTCGTGTCTCCCCGACTCCAATTGCTACAGAAGTTTCCCCCACAATAATGAACTATTGTTTCATTTGTTTCAGCGGCTCCTAATGCTTTAAGTGAATATTTGCTGCTTTGCTCAGTCTGTGAATTTAGTTTTTAGACTATTCATGAGACATAAAAGTTAATAATACATTATATTTGCATTTCCTTAAATTGTATTCTATGATGCTTTGCTTTTCAATGCTTTTAATGTTTTTTGACTACATCCTGAAGCTGACTGAGACAAGAGTGTGCAAAGCTGTCATCAAGGCAAAAGGGGGCGAGGGCTACTCTGAAGAATCTAAAATAAAAATCCTATTCTCGTTTATTTAACACTTTTTAGTTTACTAGATAATTCCATATGTGTTCTTTCATAGTTTTGATGTGTTCAGTATTAATCTACAATGTAGAAAATAATTTATTTAAATAAAAACCTTTGAATGAGAAGGTGTGTCCAAACTTTTGACTGGTGCTGTACACTGTATACTAAAGCTTAAATGCCAAAAATACATATTTATTATAATATATGTATTTTTTGTATTTTATTTGATCTAACATTCAATTAAAATCTCAAATGACATGAAACGTGCTTAAAGTCTATAGAAATCTTGATAAAAATGTGGTTTGCTGTCGTGTTTTTTACTTTGCCACTGAATTAATAGGCTATTATTCTTTACTGAAGCAAGCACACATGGATGCATGAAAAGGAAAAAGTCTTTACTAGAAAAACTCAACAGGGTATCTGAGGTAAACCTTAAAATAGCACTGATACAGTCACTATTAATAATGTGTGCAAACAAAAATAATCTGTTATTCATCTTAGAAAAAACTGTATTATATTACCACCTACTCTGTTCTGCAATTTGATTAATGATGCACTATGAAGCAATAACCTGCCAAGGACAGATTTATATATTACATTATTTGATTTATTAGTTTATTTCTGAGGCACTAAGTGCATATTAATGAGCACACGTTGATATGTAGCCGTCTGACAGGTTCATTTAAATACAAAATGTCCCTGGGAGATCATTAATAAGTCACAAACAGAGCGGGAGATGGATGGGCTTCATTATTAAGTCCTGGCACTCTCTGTAATCACATGGAAACTCTATGATAAAATAGATGTATTGGTTAGTTGGTGTTGGGAAAATACTGAATGTGCTCTTCCAATATCAGAGTCCACATGATAACAAAGGTATCCCAACTATAGCTGTGAACATGACAGGATGTATGATTACCTAGAAGAGCATCAGGACTGTTTTAGGCATATGATAGCTATGTGATTAACATGATGATTCAGCCTCTATGGAGATAGACATATGACAAGCATGATCATTTCTGACGTGGAGCTCATCTGAAGTAAACATTGAATACTGCTTTCTATTCCTCCATCTTGTGACTGTGTAACTCCCTCTCTTGGATATCAGCATGTGAAGGACACTGTTCAGGAACTAGTTGATGCTCTGTATGTGATGACTACTTCCATTCTGGAGAGGATCAGAAATACATGGATCCTGAGATTGAAGCTCAAGCCGGTGACCAGTGATATTTTCCTAACAGTTGGTATGAAACTTTTCATGACTTTCAAGGTGCTGACACTAACTTGATTAGGTTTCATGTCATTTCTGACAGGTACCTTCAGGCAGGGAGTTGAGGTACTGCTTCATGAGGCCCTGCACCCTCTCCAGGTAGAGCTGGATCAGCACGTTGTGAAACTCGGGGCCCTTGTCATCCCAAACGTAGACGATGTGCTCCAGGTACGGGACGGCCAGCTCCTTGAAGCCCTCCTTCAGGAAGTTCAGCACCTTGTCTCGGGGCATCGTCTCCACCTCCGTCAGGTCCTCCGTGAAGATCTGGACAGAAAGACAGAGTTTTAAATGAGGAGGAGAGGGCTTTCTTTATGGTGAAAGGATATATATATATATATATATATAGAAAGACAATAGAGAAAGGTTTATGATCCTTTTGATAAATGGAGGTTAAAGGGTTCATAAAGCTTGGAATGTGTCCCCGGTGTTCCAGGGAACTCACCAAGTGTCAGAAAACACAACCCTCTCTATTTTCCTCCATACCCAAATCTCTAAAAAAGGGGCTGCAACGGATCTGATAAAAACTGATCCAGATTTGAACACTGTCCTGACGTCAGGACGGTGGCGCTACGGCTATTGGGCCAACTCCACCAATCAGGAGGAGACAGCCACGGCCATTGCCGTTCGAAAGCGCTGGAGACGCTGTAGTACATATGCCAGGCCTGGAGATGGTGCTGTTCTCACAGAATCAGCCCTTGCAAAAACAGAGCTAAAAAATGTCAAATTGAGCGAAATGAGGCATGGCTAAAATGCATGATCTGTTTGGTATTTTGAAAAAAAAAAAGTATAAATATGCCTTATATAGGTATGGTCCTACACTATATTATTCAAATATAGCATGATAGGTCCACTTTAAGTATTTAAAAAATGTTTCCGAAATGTTTCAGTTTACATGAAAAGATAAAACGCCATATGAGAAAAATCTAGCTATTTTCAAATTTCGAAAATTCAAGCAAATTCCTTATCTTGAAAACATAACCATAAACCACTTTATGATGTGTTAAAAATGTAAAAAGGAAAAACCCTGCAACGTAACCAAATGCTAACAGAGGGAAAAGTATAAAACAAGTTAAACAATTATTAAAAACTGAAATATTATTATATCATGTGGTGTAAGTTTGTGTGTCTCACCTTGAGACCGTCCTCAGGACAGATCTTCAACACCCAGGGAGAAAACTCGAAGATTATTCCCATATTCTCCACTCCTGCGTGACGAGAGAAATACAGTTTGACTTCACCAAGGAAACTCACAGGAGAAAAAGGAGACACAGCAGATGATCCAGCTCATAGTAAGCAATACAAGCAAATCAAATAATCAATACACATGATTCAAATGGCTATTATTAAGTTGCAGCTGATGATCATAAAACCTTGTTGAAACCAATACATTGTAAAGTGTCTATAAAGCATTATTTAAATATATTTTATAGTTTGTTTATGGTTAATGATTGGTTTCTGGTTCATTTATCTATGAAACATTTTACAATGTCTTTGGTAATCATTAGCAAAGATTGAAATATTCCTTTCTTTGACACAATATCGTAAATATAAACAAATGGTCTTTATCAGTAGAATAAATATGAACTAAACATCAATTTGCCATTTAATTTATGACGGTTATTATGATGTGTTTTCCTAGTTTAACACATGAACAGCTGTCGTTAGCGGCTAGATATCGGGTCAGTAATGCAACAGGAATTCATCTCGCCATCCCAGTGGTACAAAAAGCCTCATTTAATGCGGGCCAGAAAATGTGAGGCACTGCAAACCATGACATACGACAGAATGCAGAATACTTATTTCATCCAACATCAACAGTAAATCAGAATGACGGTTTTCTCAGAGCTTTTCCCAAAATCACCCCAACAAATTAAACATATGGAGCAGCGAGAGACGACGGCTCTAAGTGAAAACAGACGTCCTCACCCAGTCTCTGGAGGTACTGCACGGTGCGCTCGTGGCCCTTCAGAGGAGAGTTCGCCTTCGTGGATTGATCCAGAAGAACCTGAAGAGCTGGGGGGGGGAAGAAACAGGGTGAGGAAGAGGAGGAGGAAGAAAGCAAGAGGAAGAAGAAGTAGAAGAAGCAGAAGAGCTAATGTGAGATTTCAGTCCACTACATTACATAACTCCTCCATTAGCAGAACCTGGCTGCAGCTCCTGCTCTGTGTTAATTGTTGGAGTGGAGCAGCTGGTTTGAGTTGCAGAGGCAGACTCCAGCAGAATGACATCACAATCACAAATTGCAGAAGGTCGATTAAAACCAGCCACGCTCACAGCGAGAGCGGCCAGAGAAACCAAATAACGTAAAGACAGCTCTGATGTACGAGGAAAAACCTCCTCTGAGATGAACTGTGGAGCCCAGAAAACAGCTCAGATACAAGTTCAGAAAACCCATCCATTTTAAACACAATGGAACAATTCTGCGTACAATGGCTCTTGTTATTTTATTGAGGAGGATGCTGACAGAGGCCGACACAGATCTGGAATCAACTGATCCCTCATTTATAAACTAAACCCCAAAACTCAACGTCCAATTTGAGAGAGAAATCACAAACAGATGTTTCCTTGTTGTGTTCGCAGTTGTCATGCCGAGGTCTGAAACACATTTGGTGGAGAACTAAATTGAACTCTGGTGTCAGTCGTTATCCAGATGATTGACAGATCTGTTGTCTGCTGCTAGATGATTTATTTAGCTCTTTTTTAAAAATTATTATTCATTATAAATTAATCTAAAAATAATAGATAGTAAAAATATCCTTCAAGGTTTCTCAAAATCCAAGTTGGTGTTTTTAAATGTCATGTTTTTTCAGTCCAAAACCCACGTTTTCACTATACTGATATAGTGATAGATATTGAAGTGACTGTTATTTTGTATATATTGATTGTTGTGTTTTGTTATCTTAATGTGTGCACATGTATAAATGTGTCTGTTGATTGTGTGTATATATAGGATATTCATATTTTATTCATATTTGTATTTTTATACTCGGGATTGTGGGAAACGGTATTTCGATCTCTCTCTCTTTGAATTGACTAAAGGGGCCCTATTATTCTTTTGTGGTGTTCCCTCTCCTATAGTGTGTTCTATAGGTTTTAGTGAATGTAAATGGTCTGCAAAGGCTAAAATCACTATCTAAGTCCCCTACCTAATCCCTAAAGAAATAAAGAGAGTAGACCAAATCCACATTTTTCCATCTGACTAATCTGTGTTACTGCATTTTAACATAGTTGTGCTTTGTGCTTGCTTATTCAGCGTAAAAAGGCTGTAACCCATTCGTGCAAAAAAGCCTATTTGAACTGGCACAAGAGAGAGAGAAACGCCGGCAAGGTTTCCAGGAAAGCCCCGACAGCTGAAGGAGGTGTAAATCCCCACCATTTATTACGCCCAAAATCACACATAGTCAAACGGGAAGCACAGCTCAGGACACAAATAAGAACCAGGCATGAACCAGGTTTTTGAGACAGCTGGGTGAAATGCAAACATCACCAATAGCTCCTTAAAATAAGCATTTCATAAAATGGAAACCTGCTCAAGGAATACATTAATCCCAAAGTCTAGGAGTTCAGAGACAAAAATATATTTGTAAAGTTGGAAATAGTTTAAAATAGTTGAAGACTGTTATAGAGAAACTATGACTGAGTGTGCAGGCATTTTGCTTTTCGTCAAGTAAATGTGGAATGCATATATACTTAATCTGCGTCCCATTATCATAACAGCTCCTATCTGGAGTCGAGACTTGACACATGATTGGAGTTTGCTACTTAATACTACCTCATATGTTGATATAATGGGGTTTGCAGCACAGGTGGTTCCTCTTACCTTTCTGGTGCAGGCCTTTCTTCTCGTAGAGGATAATGAGCTCGGAGTATTTGTGGGCTTTCTTCAGGATGTACTCGCTCTCCTCGATGTGGCAGTGGTTGTTTTCCAGACGGAGGAGTGGGGACACCAGGGCCACGTTAGTCTGAACAGGAGGATAGGAGAATATTATAATACCTTTCCTAATGTGTGTCCATTCACCTCTTCTTAAAACTGAGGTTGTGTTTCAATTAAAATCTGACCTCATGGGTGATTTCATCCTTCCTGCTTTACACTGTGATTAACATTTGAATAAATAATCTGGATCAGGTGTCTTTGTTTGAGAAGATTAATTCAGAGGTTTTCTCTCCAGTCCGATTAGGGTCTTCCTTTAGAGTTCCTAAGATGAAATTCTGCTTGTTTTAACTCCAAAAAGGGGAAAAACCAGGGGGCATTTTCTCTGGATTCTACATGGATTGGCTCCTAAATGTTTAGGATCGGCAGAAAGACTTTGAAGCTGGTTTTCCTCTTCACAAAAAGCCAAACTATCCAGCAGAGAAATGCATTTTGGCTGCTTGTATCTGTGATCTCATTCAACACAAGTTACCTTTCTTTACAAAGATGAGGTTTGATACACAGATTGCCGGGTAAATGTAAGCTTTTTGTCGAGGCATCATACAATATCAGCTACTCAGCCTGGATGACACCACTTAAAACTCCGGTTTTGTTTCTTCAAAGTAAACCTGCTAATGAGCTCCCTAACACAGAATCCATTTGGCTATATGTGCAGCTAAGTGCCTGCTGCAGCTGCCAATCTCTGTGAGTGTTTTGAATTACTTTCATGTGATATCAAACCATTTTGCTCCGAGTTGAACGCTGCCAAGTTTTCTAGAACTGGTATGAAGTTTTATCGTGAAACATAAACACAGGGATTACGTTCACTGACAACTGCAGTTGGACGTCGATTAAGAATACGACATGAGTCATGAGACAAAGAAACAGCTTAAGATAAAAATTAATGTGCTTTACAAAAATGCTTCTAATAATAAATGACTGAATGGAAACATTTGTGGAGATAAGGATGGATAAGGGGGGAGAAAAAAGGTTCCTAAACATTCCTGAAATCCTATGTACGTAAAGAAATGTACATCTGACAAAATTAAAGCATAAATTAAAAACAACAGAACTTTTTAAAGGACATTAGATCAGCGCAACACTTTCAATTCTGCAAGAAAATAAACTATTAAGATACAAATGATACAAATTGGATTGCCATTTATCTCTTCATTAAGGATTAAAAGGATGGTTCTGGGACTTACGTGCAGGTAACATTTGAGCAGCGTGGTGTCGATGATCTGAAGGAGCTTCTTGCGGCTCTTGATGGTCGGCGTGCCCTCCATGAGCGGAGAGGTCGGCGAGGGGTCGGAGTCGTTCAGCTGCTTCACAAGGTGGTTGCGTTTCTGTGGGGCAAATACAAATCAATTATAACTACTGTATTTATCATTACTGTGTCCTTTAAATGTACACCAATTATCTTGATCCTCACCCTTGACATGCCTTAAATACTACACAACGCTTGGTGTATTGGTTCAGTCTTGTCCAAGTAAAGATTTATTTAATGTTTAAATGTTTGCAGATGGACATTATGTTCTGTCTTAACCCTAAAAAGATGCCAAATTCAGTTTGTAAATCAAACGAAGACAAAAAGACGAGGGGACATTTACTGAAATACTGTTATTTGTAAAAAATAATCTGTATAGTTATACAACACAAAAAGATTACATATCTTCTGCAAGTTATCATACTGTATATCTGTGGATTTACATAGAGTAGTTGTTACTTAAGTTATTCCATTTGTCTGACGAACCTAATTATAATATGAAATGACAACATCTAGGTGAAAGTGTTGAAGTTTTTGTGGAAGAACAGGCAACCTTAGTTCTTGGAAATAAAGTAAAAAAACATAATAATCTTGTTAAAAAAAACTCCTTCAAAGTGAAAAAAACTGAAATCTTTTACAATATTTGAGCGGCTCAAAACATTTTTTTACGTCATAACATTGACATTCATTTTAACATTTCATGCAGCTCATCCAAATGAAGAGAAACCAGTGAGAACCCAAATAAACCTGGTTTAAAGATATTGACCCTTTGCATAATCCCTGCTGAATTTGGGGTCCGATGAAGTGTACCACTACCACAGATTTATACGTCACACACCTGAGTGAGGTAATCGATGAGCGCCAGGTGAGCCTTCTCCAGCTCGGCCCCGGACAGAGAGGGCAGAGGGTTCGGGTAGTGGAGCTGTTTGCGGTAATCTGAGGGCAGCAGATCTGGGTACAGCCCGATCACATGGGTGGGATCTGAAGAGGACAAATGTGTGTGTCAGTTTATTTAAATAATAATAATAATAGTTTATATTTATATAGCACTTTTGATGATTTTAAAGGTCCCCTATTATACTGTTTTTCATCAATATATCACAGGTCTCAGATATATACAGAACATGTCTCTGATTGGCTGAAACACCAAACAGATCATTGCAGCATCCCATAATCCCCTCTGTTTCAGCCCTGTTTCCAAAGTGCTGATTCTCGGTCTGTTACTTTAGATGAAAATAAGGAGCCCCTCCCCACGCCCCTCTGAGAGAGATTTGGTTAAAAAGAACACAATGGTGCTCTAGGAGGAGATTCAGGTGATAAGGTGGGGGGGGGGGGTTACCTTGGTTGGTGATTGGCTAATGGTGACACAAGCCAAAACATCGTTATGACATCACAAAGTGGCCAAAATCTGATCAGCTCATTTTCAGACAGGTTTTTATATAAATGGATCAGGACAAAAAAAGAGAGAATCTTTGTTCCTGAAACTTTCAGAGTCTCTTTACACAGAGTTGATGTAGAAGAGACATGAAGAAGAGGGGACACATGTTGATGTAGAAGAGACATGAAGAAGAGGGGACACATGTTGATGAAGAAGAGACATGAAGAAGAGGGGACACATGTTGATGTAGAAGAGACATGAAGAAGAGGGGACACATGTTGATGTAGAAGAGACATGAAGAAAAGGGGACACATGTTGATGTAGAAGAGACATGAAGAAGAGGGGACACATGTTGATGTAGAAGAGACATGAAGAAGAGGGGACACATGTTGATGTAGAAGAGACATGGAGAAGAGGGGACACATGTTGATGTAGAAGAGACATGAAGAAGAGGGGACACATGTTGATGTAGAAGAGACATGTAGAAGAGGGGACACATGTTGATGTATAAAAGACATGAAGAAGTGGATTTTGCACAATAGGGTGGACAAACAAGGACAAACAAAGACAATCAACAGGCAATTATTTGGGGGGCGGGGGGCGGGGCTTATGGATAGACAGAGGTGAAGAGATGAGTTTTGTGGCGGTACAGAAAGATCATGAGGGACTCTCACTTATAAGTCTTTGAGATAAAGGCAAAAATACAGAAGACCAAAGAAGCAAGTGATACAAATACATCTGGTTGTCTATTATCTAAGTCTGATATTAAAAAAAAAAAAACCTCTATCCTTTGTTTATGAGTTGAGAACAGGTAAACAAAATAAATGTTGACAGGATAAACCTAATGTTTTTTGATGTCAGGATAGATTTAGTCTTTGTGATACTTATTTCTGCCCTTAATATAACATACAACTCACCTACCTGCATGGCCTATCTCGCATTAATAACATACGAGTGGTGCACTTCAGCCTCTTGTGGCCAAAATATATATTTCAACTACACACCCACTTAAAAAAAAAATGATCCTGAATCATCCACAGTATAAAAATGGATCAAAGAGTTTATAATAGAACCATACACCACGATGTTTAATTGCCCAGAACAGAAATCAAGAGCTCATTAGAGAAATGGAAAGTCTGTCATCATGTGGAATAAATTCTCACAAACACAAGATGTGAAATCGTTACGCGGGAATAACAGAAAACCATCAATAGATGAGCAACAGATGTCTAGTAGGAAAGAAAAAAGTAGGCAGAATATATGAAAGTAAACAAATATGACTTTGTCAAAGTATCTCGACCTCTCTTTAGTATATTATTATTATTTTTAGACTTCTCGTGGAAAGCTTTCTTTGAGCGAAGCCCCTTTTTAAAACTCAATATCACAGTCCATCCATTTAATTACAAGAAGCTTAAAGTGGACCTATTATGCTATATTGGAAACATATATTGTAGGGCCATACCTATACAAAACATGTCTGAAGTGTTTTGCTTCAAATACCAAACAGATCACCCACATGTTCTAAACCACATCAAGGATTATTTCTGAAACAGAATGGAGCTCAAATGCTTTTTCTCTTGCGGGTTTATCACAAGGTGAGTTCCTTTTTTTATTTCCTGCTTTTTAAACGCATGTGCTCTACACTAGTACCAAGCCCCCAGGAAGTGCGCCGGACTCTCAGGAAAATATTCGTTATGGCCAAACGGCAGTACTACACTTCCGTATCAGTCGCTGGGAAAGACTTTTTCCCATTGACTTAACATTGGGAAAGAGACGTCTGTAAATCGTTGGATAATTTTTTTGAAACTAAATAAACTCCCCAGTATGAGCATTTGTATAGCCCTTATTAAAAACATTCGGTCCTCAAGTTGTAAAATGTGCTAATAACGTTATTCTGAGAGTTATTTTCCTCGGCATTACGAACGCGGATCCAACCCACGGGACCACCCCGCTCGGCACGTTCATGTGACGTGTTCAGTACTACATGAGTTTTACCTTTACCCATGGATGCACAATAAGAACGGATTATATGATTATATGAATACTTTCGTGACGTTTCGCTCTCTCAAAAGTTGGGCCATTTTGTCTTCATGCGCCAATGAGCAACTCTCATAGGAATGAACGAGGCCCCCGCCTCCCACGCTGTATCCAGTTCTTATTATACATCCATGTACAGTACAGGTTAGCTCTGAGTGTTAGCGAGGCTTGCTAATGTAAACAAAGACGAGATTACGTCCAAAACACGTCAGGCATTGTTTCTGAAAGCAACTCTCTGTGGGCCCGCCGCCGATTTGACGTCATATCGGCAACAAATCTGTATCCGCTCGTTGTACCACCGTTTTTAAAAGATTTGGGTACGGAGGAAAAGAGAAAGGGTTTTATTTTCTGACGCTGCGTGAGTTCCCTGACACACCGGGGACACATAGTTATGTATAAAAGACATCAAAAAGTGCATTTTTCATGATAGGTCCCCTTTAAGTTGTGATGCAATTCGATTAACTGTGCAGCTCTCGACAGAATAAGATCCACGTTTATTTTATTTTAATTTGGCCTTAACAGACTTGGAAGAAAAAAGGCTTACAGTTCTCACCTGTCCCCAGTTTGGCGAACACCTGCATGGAGTCGTCGAACCTCTTCTGGCAGAACAGGTTGAAGGCGTAGAGATTCTGGATGTGATGGATCTGCTGCTTCTTATCCCCGTCAGAATCATCCTTCATCTTCAGAAAGACAATATACATGAAGAAAAGCAATTCAACACAAAACAGCAATATTACTAATTAGAATCCCAGCTCTCTGACGTACTGCAGTTTTAGGATTAAATCTTAAGTTTATCTTTGATATTTTACTCAAGAACATTTTGTAAAGGAGGTCATGCAAGTAATGATATTCCCCTTATTATTGTTGTCATTATAATGTTTTTAATTGTATTTAATATTATCAATATAATTGTTTCTGTATTTATTTTGTATTATATGTGTATCATTAGTTCCAAGTAGCTTAGCCCATATAAAGAATTGTCTTTGGTTTGTACATAAACACACTAAGAACAATTGTAAAAATGTTGTTGCTGACAAGAAATATAAAAATCCAAAAAAGAAATACAATGACAATATCACAAATGAATGAGAAATAAGTATGTGCAGTTAATCTGAATTTAATATTGGAAAAGCTGTGCAGTTTTATGAATTGTATTTATTTATTTTAAAGAGCGTTCTTATTATGTATTTTGCCTTTATGTTGGTTAGCATGTAAAAGAAGCACAGCAATAAGAGGTTCTGTTATCTGTAGAAAACTAAGCTTCACAATAAAACAGTTAAAACTACGCAACTTCTGGTCCAGGCTCTCGTCATCTCACGCCTAGACTACTGCAACTCCCTCCTGGCTGGTCTACCTGCATGTGCCATCCGACCGCTGCAGCTCATCCAGAATGCAGCGGCTCGTCTGGTCTTCAACCTTCCTAAATGTTCCCACACCACGCCGCTCCTCCGCTCCCTTCACTGGCTTCCAGTAACTGCTAGAATCCACTTCAAGACACTGGTGCTTGCGTACCATGCTGTGAATGGTTCTGGCCCTTCCTACATCCAGGACATGGTTAAACCATACACCCCAGCACGTGCACTCCGCTCTGCATCAGCCAAACGGCTCGCTGCACCCGCACTGCGAGGGGGACCCAAGTTCCCATCAGCAAAAACATGTCGGTTTGCTATCCTGGCTCCAAAATGGTGGAATGAGCTCCCCATTGACATCAGGACAGCAGAAAGCTTACACATCTTCAGGCGCAGACTGAAAACTCATCTCTTTCGACTCCACTTCGAGCGATACAATTACTAACAAAGCACTTATATACTAACAAAGGACTGGCTTATCTAAAGCCGGTTGAGTAGCACTTGAAATGTTTTGTCTCAATGAAACCTGATGTACTTATATGATTCTGTTTTCTTCTAGTTTGTATCTTCTTGGTCGAATGCACTTATTGTAAGTCGCTTTGGATAAAAGCGTCAGCTAAATGCAATGTAAAATAAACTGCATGCTTTCTAATAATGAAGAAACCACATTAATGGTGTTCTTAATCCTTATAAAATAACCCCTGGAAAGCTAGATAGCTAGATTATGCCGTGAGCGTTTTAGAGTTTCATCGTCGTGCTCCCGATGAAGATAAGTGATTTCAGTGCCACACCCGCTGAGCTAAAGCACCTCTTTAATCTGCAGGAATAAATAAGTTTCTCAGGGAAGGTGTTCTCACCGCCAGCTGCAGAGCCAACTCAAACTGCTTGTCCTGAAGAAGCTGCCGGATCTGAATGGCAATGGACACCGGCACCAGGCGCCACACAAAGTGGTTGCTGGCAACGTACACAATATTCTGCCTGTGGAGGATGAGAGGAGAAAAACAACATTAGAGAGGATCGGTGGGAACAAAATAATGATGTCTTTGTGAGGAGAGACTGACATTATCAGTTTCAATGTGATGGGGATGGAAACTAGGGGAAGAGAGGAAAGCAGCATATCATGCATCATGTTTGTTTTTTTGGATGTTCTGCATAGGAAAGAGAGGGGTAACCATAATAAAGCCCCATTTCCTAATCATATATTTGTAGCATAAGCATAGCATAAGATAAGACCCTTTTTTCTTGTATTAAAGGTCCCATGTCATGGCCATTTCTACTGATCTACTAGAATAGATTTACATTGTTCAATGTTCCAAAATCACATTGGTTTGTACAGCGTCTCGGTATAGTATGTGTATTCACTCTCTGTCCTAAATGGCTTGTTGGAGCTCCTGCCCCCCCCTCCCTATGAGCCCACTGTGCTCTGATGTGTGTTTATGTGTTACAATGGCGTTTGTTAGCAACCAGAAAATGACACCAGTAATGAAAAACAGATGAGAATGCTGTGTGGGGTCTGGGTGCCGTGTTGGCGGGACGTTGCGGGGGACGTTGCGGGGGACGTTGTGGGGCACGCTGCGAGCGGACAGTGTGAGCTGGATTACTGGTGTCGTTTCCTGGTTGCTGCGTGGGGTCTGCGAGACAGGCTGTGTGCTCAGGCTGGCTGTGTGTGGCTGTGTGTGGCGAACTGTGTGTGGCGAACTGTGCATGGAGATCAGCGGAGTCGCGGCTGAGAAAAGATAAGGCTGAGTAAGTGTGTGTGTGTGTGAGGAGCTCCACGGATTGGTCTATTTGGATCTGGGTATGGTCACGTCACCATACTCAGGAAGAAAAAAATGGAAAAAGAGAAATCTCCAACGAGGCGTTCTGGGGCAGCATAGACAGGTCTATTCTGTGTTAGAGTTTTACTCGCTACAGGGTGTACTTTGAGGGTTTGTGACTTTGCAGGGTAATTTCACTCCGTTAGGAAGGTTCCTGAACTAAACTGACAATTCGACCACAACCCTAGTCCACAGAGATTACAGGGCTTCATGGAGGTGTTCTCACCCAGCGGAGGTGATGAAGCGAGGCCTCTGCAGCTCCACGCTCTGCACCAGCAGCCGGGGCTCAAACGTCCGGATCTCCACGTACCGAGGGAGCACCGCGATGATGTACGGAGGCTGGTGCTCTGGGAAGATGAGAGGAAAGAGGGATTAAAACGTTGAGTCAGCTAAAAACACAAACTGCCACAGCTGGGTTATTACATATCCGTGAGTCGTTGGTTGTAAGGTTAATAACTGGGTTGGACAAAATGAATGACAATAACAACAATAAAACTAAATTGAAATAAATAGTTCACGTTTTTCAAAGAGGAATTGGCCTCTTCAGTTATATGAAATAAATAAATAAAAATATAGATGCATATATTTAGTATTTTTACAACAACACTATTTACTAAAAGATTTTCTGTATTATAATTTTTTAAAGGGGACCTATCATGCAAAATGCACTTTTTGATGTCTTTTATACATAAACATGTGTCCCCGGTGTGTCAGGGAACTCACGCAGCATCAGCAAATAAAACCCTCTCTCTTTTCCTCCGTACCCAAATCTCTAAAAACGGGGCTACAACGGAGCTGATCCAGATTTGCGTCCGATATGACGTAATATCGGAAATGTGGACCCACGGCCCTATCAGAAACGTTGCTATCAGAAACAATGCCCGACTGTTTTGGACGTAATATGGTCGGTGTTTACATTAGCATCGCTAACACTCAGAGCTAACCTGTACTGGAGAGCATGTGTGTGAAGAAGCAGGAAATAAAAAGGAACTCACCTTGTGGTATAACCGGCAAGAGAGAAAGCCTTTGAGCTCCATACTGTTTCAGAAATAATCCTTGATAATCCATGATATGGCGTTTCATCACGGCAGTATTTAGTTTAGACAGTAGCTGCCGGGTCCCGCATGAGCTCAGCCCCCTCCTTTTTAATTTTTTTTAAAGCTTTATACCCCAAATCAGCACTTTTGAAACAGGAAGTGAAATAGAGGGATATGAGGCATGGCTAGAATGGGTGATCTGTTTGGTATTTTGAGCAAAAAAAAAACACTTCATAGACATGTTTTTTATATACATTTTATATATCTGAGACCTATGCTATTGCCTACAAATAGCATGATAGGTGACCTTTAAAGTACCTACCTCAGTATCCTTTTTTTTTTAAATTAAAAAACGCTCCTTTTTATCAAATAGGTTTCAATTAGGTTTCTTTTCTCCATTGATTTATTTTTAATACGTTTCTTCGACTTCTATTTATTGATTATTGCAAACATTCTTACTATTAATGTCTATATATGTCTGTGAAGCACTTTGAAACACATTGTATTGAAATGTTATTATAAGAGGCTTTAAACAACACTTCATTGACCCTTAGCTCCGGGAAACATTGTGCATAAGGGACAAGCTTAGGTTTCAAACTTAAAAAGGTAGTTTCTGCACCAGCCAGGAACAGCTCAATGCATTTCAAAGTGAGCAGCACTCTCATTCCTCCGCTGAAGCCCACATATCAAAGCAAGGAAATTGCACACTGCCCGGCCCGAAGGCTTAATTTCCCCTCCATATTGTTCCTTTCTGCACTGCAATATATGGGAGACGTAAACGTGAGAGGTCATCGTATCACTCCTGTCACAAAGCTCATCAGTAACCCAGACATGTGGAGTCAAACAAAAAATCTATCTTCCTCCTCCGACATGTGGGAAACAGCAGGGAAAAAAAAAAATAAAGTTTGTACAGGGAAAGCTTCAAGGAGATAAAAGAGAAGACAGACAGCAGCTGGATATTCAGACCAAATGCTTCATCTGGTGTTCCTGCTATGTGAACAAACTGTGACAAGGAGAGATTAAACTGATCTGCAGTGAAATCAAGTAGCAACGCTTTATACAGGCGCAGCTGAAGCATACCATTCAGCAGATTGCTATTAAGAGAAAGGAATATTAAGTCATGGAACGTTTATTAAAGAAGATTAATGTCAGACTCGGGCTCCAACTAAGATATTTTAGAGGACGACTTTTTATCCAATTTGTGTGTAAATCATCTGTATAACCTTTTGACTTTTCTGTCAGTGTTAAAGGTGGGGTAGGTAAGTTTGAGAAACCGGCTCGAGATACACTTTTTGTTATATTTCATGGAATGCTCTCAACATCCCGATAGCAATGAATATCTTAAGTGCTTTGACAAAAAAATCCATTAAAAAAATATCATCTGTGGAAGCCGTAATACTGTAAAAAGCACGACCAATCATCTGAGCCGGCCCGGCTAAAATAACTGGATGGCCTACCTGCCTGTCAGCCTTCCATCTGTGCACAAACTTATCTCGTGCCCTCATTGGTCATGTGCGCGTTCGTGTGTGTTGGAGGAGGGGCTCTATAAGGAAGTGGCAGATTTTTTCCGGCTGTGTATTTTCAAATTCTAGCGATCTCGAGCTGGTTTCTCCAAATTTACCTACCCCTATAATGTGTATTTTGTAAATTGTGTAACTTTTAATTTTTATTATATTTGTTATTATATTATAACCTTTTTTTTTTACTTTAATACTTTTTAATGCATGTAACATATGTAACATATGTAACATTAAGCTGTCTTTGGCTCTTTTTCTGCTGTAACAATGTACATTTTCCCTCTGTGGGACTAATAAAGGTATTCTGATTCTGTATTAGCTGTGCGTTGATGGATACAGTAAGATTTTTGGTTCTGTAATTTTCTCTTTTAGTTGTTTTTGATGACCTATCTTAACAAATATTAAAATTTGTTTAAAAAAAGAAGAAGAAAATGGTCCCACTTAAAACAAAACTATGTCTAGAATTAAAACTATTACAAATAAAAATGTTTTTACAGTTTTAAGTTGCTCTGCTAAATCCAGCACCAGACACTTTTTACACTGCTATGGACAATCTTGCACTAATGTACATTCCCAAAGATATTGAAGTGACTGTTATTTGTATATATTGATTGTTGTGCTTTTATCTTAATTTATATATCATATTTTATACATATTTTTATATATATATATATATATATGTCAGGGAATCATTTCCATAGATGTTTACCTTTCGCCCTCTGACGCAGCTGACCAGCCTTGAGCAGCCGTTATCTCCCATAAGGAGGGGCTGCCCTAGCATTTTGTTGATGTTGCCAGTTTGTGACCGGGCAACTCTCGGTCAGAGATAGTCATTGTTGTGGGACACCTGGAACACATCCTTCTCGGGGTGTAGATGACCTCGAGCCATAAGCGACAACAAATGTGATTCAGTGTCCTCAGCTGTTTAGTCTATCTATTGAAGAATGTTGATTATTACACTCTGAACTAGTTAAAACCTCGAGCTACAGGAGGGGTCTTCAGAATTGATTGTGGCATCTCAACCGTGTGGTCAACTCGTGGCCCGTGACATGTCTTGTGAATTCTCCGGCCGAAGCTCCAAATAAAACAGTCAGTGCCATCAAAGCTCCAGCTCTCCATCGTGTCTCTCTCTGAGTCCTGACTCCAATTGCTTCAAAAGTTTCCCCCACAATATATATATTGAATTTTTGTATTCAGGATTGTAGGAAATGGTATTTCGATCTCTCTATCTGTACACTCAAACTGAAAGATTGACATTAAAGTTGACTTTGATTTCTCACCCATTGCTATAGGGATGTCTGTCCAGTTGAGGGCGCACTTCTGGGTGCAGACGCCCTCTTCATTGAGCACCACAGTGAGGTCGTCCTGCCCGACAGCCACCTTCCCATCAGCCAGTGGGGTGACCAGCGGCTCCAGCTGCTTCCCAGTGGGGAAGAGCTCCTTGATGGAGCCTCGGCCGTCCATCTGATCAACAAGAGGGATCATTAGAGGAACTATTAATAACATCTTACAAACTGAAAGGTCGATAATAAAGTCAGAAAAATCACATTATAACTCCAAGGCGTTATCTTAATTAACAAATAACTCGGTAAAAACAGACATATATCCTATGATATTTATCCAAAGAGCACATCTAACTATCGCATTTCAAGTCCAGGAAGCACTCCCACAGAAACATTGTGCTTAAAATAATGAAACAACATTATATACAATAACACTACCAAACATTAGCTGAAGATAAAAATAAAAGGAGAAAGGAATACTAAAAGGGAGAAGCCCAAAATAAACACATTCAAGGATCACAAAACGAACAGGAACTAATTATACACAACAGCCTGTTTCTTCCTTTTTAAAAGTGGTATAAAATCCTCTATGAAACACTTCCTGTAGAGAAAGGCACATGCAAAATGTTTGTTTCTCACGGATAAATAAAGATGTATGCGAGAGTCATGAGAGACTAAAGCCCAGTCTAAACGGCTGTTCAGGAAACAGCTTAAAACTAAGCATTGTGCTTTGTTTATTTGCAACATTTGGGAAAAGATATGACAGTTATGAATGAGGAGAGCATTCAGGTGGATTTTGGAGAATTGAATATGCTGCAGGAGTATTTACAAATGGATGTTTTGATACTTTAAAAAGGACATTAGCTTCCTTTAAGTTCAGGGTAGCTATAGATAAGTCAAGCGGAGTATAGAAAGTTTCCTGTAGCACATACCCGGATGAGGTAATAGTCTCGCTTGAAACCAACACATATGGAGTTTTCACACCAGGCCATGGACTTTGGAATATCTGGTGCACCAAAATCCCCCTGCCAGACACAAACAAAACATTAGGATGATTACAGGTAAATCATACAGCAGTGAGTCACATCTTAACTGTATTTTATTTCACCTGCAGCTCGTAGAAGTCTCTGTCCTTCCAGTAATACATCTGGATTTTCTTTTTCACCGCCACACACATTCTCAACCTTTCCTCCCCTGTGCTGGTTAGCTGGAAACAACAGAGACAACATATATTAATCATGACTTAAAAATCTTCGGAAAGATGTGAATATCACAGAAATGTGGAAACCAAAGTGTGTTTCACCTTTCCAAAAGACTGTATAAGAAAAATGCACGTTTTTTTTTTGTTTTAGTTGATTTAATGCACATTTCACAGATCTTACATTACTGCTGATCATCTTTTGAACACTCAACGTCTCATTGTCTTTTTCTTTGTGCTGATTTCGAAAAGGCAAAGCAACAGCATTTCAGATTTTAACTATTATTTTCTCAGCTCTTTATTCGCTGATGTTAACTCATGGAGGCGGGAAGGGGGGGCTACTAGCAAACAACTGGTCATAAAACATCTTCACATCAGGAGACTGATTCATCTGACTTTTCGTTTTAACAGTCCAATAACTTATAGCTGTAGGGTTGTAGTTCTGCACAAGTAAAGCATTATCTCAGTATAAAAACTCTAAATAGCAGGCAGTACACAAGCATGAATATAATAGCAGTATTGTAGTGTAACATTACTGCAGGCGTAATGTATGCAAATACAGATGACTTATCCTGCATTCCACTTTCAACATTATGTCACTTGCACTCTTTTAAATGCAATATCTTTTTTTATGTCTTAAAGGGGACCTATCATGCAAAATGCACTTTTTGATGTCTTTTATACATAACTATGTGTCCCCGGTGTGTCAGGGAACTCACGCAGCGTCAGAAAACTAAACCTTCTCTCTTTTCCTCCGTACCCAAATCTCTAAAAACGGGGGTGCAACGGAGCTGATCCAGATTTGCGTCCGATATGACGTAAATCACGTCAATTTAACTGTATCTGCCGGTATAATTTTGAGCAGGCATTAGCTCCCCTTCCTCTTTTTTTCAACCTAAGGACCCAAAATCAGGATATGAGGGATGTCTAAAATGCATGATCTGTTTGGTATTTTGAGCAAAACACATCATAGACATGTTTTTTATATATTTGTATATATCTGAGATGCATAATATATGCCTAAAAATAGCATGATAGGAAACCTTTAAGTGTATCAAATGTTATATTGTTGGAGGAGCCTGGGGTTTAAGATGTTCCCGTGCCAACAAATCAGCTATATTTGTTGTGCATTTGACAATAAAGCCTTTGAATCTTGAAAACAGGGGGACTGTAACTGACCTGCAGGTCACAGGCGAACAGCGTCGCTCCTTTGGCTTTGGACAGCACGGTGATCTGCTGGAAGGTCAGGAGGTCATGGACGTGGATGTTGTTCTCTGCAGGAGAAAGGGATTTGATCAGTTAAGAGAATGGAGATTAATGCTTTCACACAAAAAGGTTGCAGTTTCAATGCTGTAAAGGTTTAATAATGAATAGATAAACTAACCAGTATTATGTTATATTAAGGAGAGAAACTTACCTAGAAGGCTGACAAGAATGTTGTACTTTGAGACAACGTAAAGCTGTAGACAAAGTAAGAAAAACATAAATTAAAAGGAGGTAACAAACACACTACAGCCAAGTCGTTTAACCCACTTCTCTGTGAGCATGAGAAGTCTTAACTTTACTTTTCAATATAATATTCAAGAAATGTATTATAATAATGCAAACACAATATAATAGCGGTTGTGTGAATCCTACGTAAAGAGTGCTTTGATTTAAAACAATCACACATGTTTACAAGGACTAAATAAGGCATCAATGAGATAGTAAATATGAGCAATAATAGTATAAAATCTAGAGCACTAAATGAGAACTATCAAGTACAATACAATAATAATAAAATGACAAGTCTAATACAAATGTGAAGGTTAATCTGAGAGATCACAATCACATCAACCCTGTTTGCTATTCAGGTGTGTTGTATTTCCAGATGAATACCAGGAGAGGGAGTTGGCCATTGGCACGTTTATTATCAGACATGTTATTATTGAATTACTAATTAGGAGACAGTACAGTAAGCACTCCTAAATATCTTTAAATGTTTGGTTTGTGACTACCCTCACCAGATCTTAAATGCTTATTCATCATTGATGTGTTTTGATCTAGGCAGTAATAGTCTAACCATGGAGTCTTATCTACCTGCTGAATCTTCTTTGAGAAGTTCTTATTGGATTTTTCCAGTGTCACCTCAAACCGGTTGGTACCTAAGGGGAAAGAGAGACATTCAAAATGACTTATGTGAAGCAGGCAACATTACGTGGAGGTCTGCAAATACAACAAGGTATCACCACACATCTCTTTGGGCTCTTCTCACCTGCATCCTTCTTTATTCGGTAGAGAAGGAGATGCCCTGGCTTTGTTCCCACGAGCAGCCAGTCCTCTGTGGGAAGAGAAACTCAACAATCAGAGTCTGACAGTAAGAAGGATGCTGTCAGTCAATTCAGACATGTTATGCTATCAAAACAGAAACATTGTCAGACACAATGCAACCCTTTTTATCATAAACCCACACCAAAACATTGAGGCTGCTTTAAAGACCTTCTGCAACCAACACCATCACTTATCTGAATGTACATGCATGTATTACTAAGTACTTCTGAGTATCAGATTGATGGGATGCGTTATGGCAATTATGGTATTAAAACTTAATACAGTGTAATCCTAATGGAATGTAACTGCTGTATCCTGGGAATGGCATATACAGGTATGTGTGATGACAGATGTGTTTGGAAGGGGGTTTTATGACACTACAGAAAGAGAGGATGAGTGGAAGGAATGTGCTATAGGGGTTAACTGTATATCCTATTGTTCTTTGTAGGGTGTGAGTTTTTGCATACAGTACTGTGCCATGGGGCGACCACCTGGCATCATATGATGTTGATTAACATGTAAATAAGCTTTGATGTCTTCCTATAAGAAGAGTCTGTTTCACACAGAACAGGACGCACTCAGAACGAGTCGTCAAGCATTACAACAAAGATCTCAAAATACTTTATATCAATACTGTGTTTCTTTGCATAACTCATCATTCTCTCTAGACAGCAGCTGATTTTAAGTTGCTACGACAGATGACATGCCAGGGAGAGAAGAGACGCCACTGCCATTTGGCCAGTAAGATTTGAAGATGCATAATTGAGGTGCTGGAAGTACATTGAATTAAGTATTTCACTTAATTGCAATGTTGAGGTACTTTTGTTTACTTGTGTATTTTTCTTTTCATGCTACATTCTACTTATACTTCAGTAGAATTAAAATCTATTTTTTCTGCTTTTTACCTCACTACATTTATTCTTTAATCTGAACGTAAAAAGTAGCTACAGTAGTAACTCAAAGTTGTCAAGTTTGTCCGGCAGTGGCTCAGTCAGTAGGGGCTTGGACTGTGAGCCGTACGGTCGCCGATTCAAGTCCCCGACCAGACCTAAATATGGAGTGTGGACTGCTACTTGGAGAGGTCCCAGTTCACGTGGTGCCCTTGAGCAAGGCACTGGACATCCCCCCACTCCCATTGCTCCCCGGGCGCTGTACAATAGCTGTTCCTAGTACTAGACTCCTGGTACTAGGATGGGTTAAATGCAGAGGCCACATTTCACTGTGTGTGTGCTGTGTATGACCATTAAAGAGGGTTTCATCCCTCCGATTCTCTCTCGATATATAGGACATAAAACAAATACAATTGTGCAAGAGAATGTTTTGAGATGTGCAAGTAAATACAAATGAAATACAAATAGTGCAAGAAGAGTCTATATACAAGTACATGGAATATGATGTATAGATGGAGTGGGGTAAAAAGTACAATATTGGCTTCTAAAATGTAGTAGAATATAAGTATAAAGAAGCATCAACTGGAAATACTCAAGTAAAGTACGAGTACCTCAAAATTGTACTTAAGTAAAGCACTTGAGTAAATGTATTTAGTTAATTTACACCACTGGAGTAATCTGAATCACCTGAGACAGCAGCTCAGACGTCCACTTCAATGTCAAACAATACATTAAAAAAGCAGCTCTATGGGAAACTTAGAAGTGTCAACAACTCACCCCAGGCCGCCAGACAGTCAATCTGAAGAGGAAGCTTCTCCAATATAGGCACTGGTTCATATGCGTCATGCATTTTGAATATATATATATTCAATTACACACCGCTCGGATGGATCGATCCCACACAGATTGGATGTCTGTCGGGACAAAAGCTGACCGACGGACCAACGGTTAGTCTGTCAGGGTGGGACAACTTTATGTGTCGCCATTAACCGACTGAGTAGCTCAATAGTGTCGACAGGGAATGAGGAAATCTGGTGTCTGTAATGCTAAGCGGTTAGCTAGCTCTCCGACCAAAACAACAGCTGATCGTTAGCATGCTAGCATTAAAGTTAGCAAGCTACCTAGCTAAACATTGTCCTCTCTTATTCCATGGTAACTGAAACTGCCACACAATGGCTCCGTTAATAAGTCGATAAAAGACAAACACAGCGTTTGGTTGAGTTATTATAAATAGTTAACGCGGTTTTAACGGTAGCCGTTAGTGTTTGTTAGCCATGCTAGCTTCTCCTTATTTCCTCCAGTTGTGTTGACGACGGCTGCGCGAGGGAATGAGGGTTTGACAGGCACGTGACAGAAGTCAGCGCACTCACGAGGAACGCATTAAAGGAGCAGTGACATAAATAGTGCACTTGCAATTCTCGCGAGATCTTATTCATTGAGATTTTTTTAATCAGTTCACTTTACCTTTATGTACTTTACTGTTAAAAAAAGCTCTTTTTTTCTTTCACTAAAAAGGTGCAACAATGAACAACTGTTTAATTCATTTTGACATAATTATATATTAACATATTTCGTTTTTTACACAAAATGTCTTCTTTCAAGAGTTATTTAATAGGCTACTAATAAAAGGATACATGTATACTTACAGAAATGATTGTACAGTAAAATAAAAAAAGTGTGCAAGTGCACATGTTAAAAATGTACACAAAAACTGCCATTGTGTTATAATATAAATTTTATTTGCAGGACACACGCAAAAAGCCATACAATATCATTAGCTTTACATTACTACGCAGACTCACATCCAGAAATTGGGCTTTAATTTCTCTCTAAAATAAAAATAAATCCTCAACAAGAGTTGGACAAATATATAAAAAAAAAAAGAGACATTAATTAAGAGTTTTAAAACATACACACATACTGTACTGCAGTAGTTTTAACAAGGACGGGCATATCATTCTGCCACAGAAAGGCAGGATTATTGGGAGTGTAAATTGGATTGATGGGTGAAATGGAAATGATTCATTTAGCATGTACAGATTTTTTCATTTTAATCTACACTGTGCAACTGAATTAGGGTGGCAAAACTCTGAGAAAGGATTACATACATACATACAGTAAATCATTTAAATGTAGGCCGACACCACATCTGTGAAGCTTAGTAGTGGATTCTGTGATACAGTAGCTAAAAGAAATGGTGGAATTAAGTAGACATAAATCACAGCTATTAATGGAGCCACTATAAAAGCTTGTTTTTTATAGAGATAAAAATAAACATCCTTAATTTTAGACCTCTTATCCTTGAAAGCGGGTCTTTTTTCCACTCTGAGGACCGTGCAGTCTTTCATTAGTCAGTAAAAGCTCTAAAATCGCTATCATTAGACTCTTATTTCCAGTAGCTTGAAATGTACTGTGTTGAAGTGACAATCTGAACACTTCTGATGACAAACTGAACGCTTCTGATGACAATCTGAACGCTTCTGATGACAATCTGAACGCCTCTGATGACAATCTGAACACCTCTGATGACAATCTGAACGCCTCTGATGACACTGTGTTTATATATATTACATTCTCCCAGAACAGATAACAGTGTGTTGTAGTTAACACACACATGTACATCTTACGGTGATATGCTTCAAGTTTCAATACACACTGATGCAGCCGTGTTTACATATTATAAAAGTAAGTTCTGTATTTCTATATTTAGATTAATCATTGAGCCAGATAACAGTGTTAGTCGGGTGTTAACAAAAAGATATACATATATGATTTGTTGAAGAAGCTATAAGAAATTAGCTTATGAAATAATTAATTTTTGTTATCTGGTTAAATGGCTAATCACACCATATCTATATATTTAAATATGAAATGTATTGTTGTTATGTGACCCATTTTACATGTAAAACACCAGCTGAAAACAGCTTTTTTTTTTTACATTTCTAGTCTTTTTACAGCACATTACCAACGATAAGTTCAAGTATCAGACGCTGTGTAAATGTGACCTCATTATGAACAATAACTTGCCGTTTTCAGCGTGTGTTTTAAGCTCCATCTGTACAATTATCAGATATATCTGGCTGGATAAAACTGCCTAATTATCAACATGATTTGTACCTGAACGGATCTGAAATCAGTCGTTGCAGTCCTACACATTTGACAAATCAGGCGCTAGGATCACTTGGATTGAATTGGGTAATTTATTTTATGTGAAATATTGTATTAGTCTAATTCCAATGCACTTTTAAATTGTGTAAAATGCACGGATTCTGTCGAATTTTGACCTATTTTGTGACATTGAATGCGTCTTCAAAACAAATAATATATTTATCAAAGTGCTCTTGCATCAGTTTCCCCTCCCTCCTGAAAACCAACCCCTCCAAACTACATGTTGCGCAGTAAAGATCTTAATATGAAACACTATTCTCGGAGCTTATTACAGTGCGACACAATACCTGTGAAATAAAACCAGAAACGCAAAGTGTCTGGAGAAGAGAAAGGTTGGCTTTGCCCACATTCTTTTTGGTAATCAGATCACTGAGAATGCATTCATTGCTGCCTCAGTGAAATTGCTTTCTTTCCAATACATCACATCCTCTCCTCACGACGACTTCTACTCCATTTTGGATCGCTCCAACTTGGTTTTCAGAATCTCCTGGAGAAAGACAACACACGTTAGTACTCAGAGTAATGTGATTGTGGAATGAAAGCACAGTAAAGGCCATTACTGGAGTTTAATGTTATAATGAGATTGGGAATCATGGGATATGCTCGGGGGAAATACAAAGAGTCTTTACCTCTTCCTCATCCAGCATTACAGGGAGAGCTCTGTATGGAGAGGGGAACAGAGAGGGAGGAAGTGAATGCACTCATACAGTCTGCATTTTAATCAGAGTCAGATTATAATAATAATAATAATAATAATGCATTTATTTTATATAGGCGCCTTTCAAGGCTCTCAAGGTTGCCGTACAAACACATAAAAAACAAGATACACAATACATAACACCAGCATAAGAGACATAAACAAGACCATGCAGTATATAAATCAATCAAATAATCAAATAAATAAAAACAGAGGATGTGTGATGGATAATGATCAGGGTGGATATGCGAGTGTGAAGAGATGTGTTTTGAGACGTGATTTGAAAATGGGGAGAGTCAGTGTTGCGGATGTCAGGTGGGAGAGAGTTCCAGAGGCGGGGTGCAGAGCGGCTGAAGGCTCTAGACCCCATGGTGGTTAGGTCGGGGTGCAGAGCGGCTGAAGGCTCTAGACCCCATGGTGGTTAGGCGGGGTGCAGAGCGGCTGAAGGCTCTAGACCCCATGGTGGTTTGGCGGGGTGCAGAGCGGCTGAAGGCTCTAGGCCCCATGGTGGTTAGGCGGGGTGCAGAGCGGCTGAAGGCTCTAGGCCCCATGGTGGTTAGGCGGGGCGCAGAGCGGCTGAAGGCTCTAGGCCCCATGGTGGTTAGGCGGGGTGCAGAGCGGCTGAAGGCTCTAGGCCCCATGGTGGTTAGGCGGGGCGCAGAGCGGCTGAAGGCTCTAGGCCCCATGGTGGTTAGGCGGGGTGCAGAGCGGCTGAAGGCTCTAGACCCCATGGTGGTTAGGCGGGGTGCAGAGCGGCTGAAGGCTCTAGACCCCATGGTGGTTAGGCGGGGTGCAGAGCGGCTGAAGGCTCTAGACCCCATGGTGGGTAGGCGGGGTGCAGAGCGGCTGAAGGCTCAAGACCCCATGGTGGTCAGGGGGGGTGCAGAGCGGCTGAAGGCTCTAGACCCCATGGTGGTTAAACGGAAGGGGGGTGCAGTGAGGTGGAGGGAAGCAGAAGACCTGAGAGTGCGGATGGGTGTGTTGATGTGCAGGAGGTCGGCGGGGTACAGAGTGAGGTTATGGATGGCCTTTAAGGTGAGGAACAGAATCTTAAAAACTATACAGGATTTGACGGGGAGCCAGTGAAGTTGCTGAAGAACAGGAGTGATGTGGTTAATGGAGGGGGTTCTGGTGGTGATGCGGGCGGCAGAGTTCTGGACCAGTTATTTATCTCGGGGGAGATAGGGTTTTGTGACAGTTGTTCTTTTTGAGAATAAAATTCAAAAAAAGGTAAATAAATAAGAAAATAGAAGCGTTCCGTGTCTTGTTTATACATAAAATACAAATAAACATTAGATGTTATGTTTAAATGTCCAATAAAAGATCAAATGAAATAGAATACAGATATTTATCTAACATAAGGTCAATCTAAATGTCCTGTAGAAAGAAGGGGAGAATATAGATAGAAGTATAAATAAAATGTCCAATAAAAGATGAAATAAATACAATATTTTGTATTAAAAAATGTGAAGATTCAGTAACACATCAACACATTGTTTGTACCTACATTTAATTTGTTTGTTTGTTTGTTTGTTTATTTATTTAAAGGACAGTGCACATTAATCCACATTGCTGTAAATGAGCCAGTATTAGCCAGCAGGCTAATTTTCAACTGTTGTCCTTGGCAAGATGTTAAATAACCACAACAAAACTAGAGAAATAAAAACATAATTAAATAGAATACAACAGACAACAGCAGTACAACAATAAATAGCAGTACAACAATAAATAGGAACAGACACACATGCAAACAGATGAAATACTATCATACTATGATACAGTTAAAAATGTTCACATTTTTGATTGCTTAAAAGCCAGTTCTTATGATAGTGGTTAAATGTATGATAGGAGGTGTTATTCCTTATCTGTATCGGTATTGTGTTTCAAAGTGTTGATGCCCTCACAGAGAAACAGTGTTTACCAAAGGAACTGGACCTAAGAGGGACTACACCGTCCCCTCTTAGGGCAGACCTTGTGGTTCTGCTGTTTGAGTTTTTCTGCTGTATAAAAGTGCAGAGTGGTGGGGGTGTCTTGCCGTTAATAATCTTAAAAATGAGACATGCATCAGTGTGTTTTAAAAGATTTTCCCAGCTGAGCAGGTTATCTTTGATTGAGCTAACTTATTATTAACTTATGGAGGCAATATACCTCTAGTCTGTATGTGGCCCTCATTGAAAAAAGTGTGGACATCCCCTACTTACATAAACTGAACGTGACATATTAAGGATTTCAGTTTTAATCCGATACCTTATTCTCTCAAAATCCAGCTCGCATAATATACCAATTTCCTTGACTCAATGTTTTACATTTAAAATTGACAATACTTACACATCAATGACAGATGTAGGAATGTTTTCCTCAACCCATTTTAGGTCTTCATCCTGTTAAGAATTAAGAAACGTAACATTATTAAGCTATAGATGGAGAGATAACATAAGAAAATAAGTTATACACTAAAAAGTGTGTAAAAAAACATTCATTCAAAACACAAACAAACGACAAAAACAGTCAAACATTTCACAGGAGCTGAGCAGACACCTTATTATATAACACATTGTTAGTTTAGAGTGTAAATCAAATAATTAACATGTGGACAGATGATATTAAACCCACCTCTTTACTCAATAGTTTCTGGGAGCCATTAGAGTCCGGCTTGGAGCCCCTCATCTTCATTCCCTCTAAGAAAAGAAAGGAAAAGCCAAGTGTTAATTTTGGCAGCTATTTTAGGCCTCGGCCACACAAGGACGATAACGGTCGTATCCGCTACAGTTCACTATCAGATAGACGGTTCGGCCACACGAGGCCGACATGGAAACGCAGAAAACGATAACGATAGGTAGATCTGCGGCCGAAACGCTCTGGGGGGGCAAACGGCTCCGTGTTTACGCCTATACGATCATTTCCTGATAACGTTGAAGCAATAGCCCCGCCTCTCCCCACCCCCCCTTGCTCAGAGATCAGCTGCTGGGCTGTCAGAAGAGGGGGAGGAAAAGATAGGCTCCGTTTATTATTCTTATATTATTATATAGAGTCATTATTCATTTGTTTTAAAGCTCAATAAATAACAAAGAAGACCTTTGACCGGCACTTTTCAAATTTTGTCCGGAAGATTTAAACTTTAAAATCGAACGGAAACTCTGCCGCACGGTCCCCTCGTCCCTTGGAAGAGGCGGAGAGGTGGGTGTTTTTTTACAGCAGGGGCACACGCTTGCCTCGGGGAGGGAGAAAAAGAGCCAGAGCGTCCACCGCGGAGAATAAACAGAAGGGCAACCATGGCAACCATGCACGGGAAGTCTTCTTCGCTGCTTTTGTGGCAGGAGTACAGCGCCACTTACAGGCCCGGCATATGTACTACAGCGTCTCCAGCGCTTTCGAGCGGTCTCGTGTGAACGGACACGTTTCTGGTGCCGATTGCGTGTGGACGGAAGACTTTTTTGATATCGAATTCGGTTCGTTTGCGTTACCGTTCTCGTGTGGCTCCAGTCTTAGTCTTTAGACGAAAATGGTTATTAGTTTAAGTCACATTTTAGTCCTTTTTATCCTTCATAGTTTTAGTCTAGTTTTAGTCGACGACAACACAAAACGTTTTAGTCGATGAAAAAACATTACATTTTAGTCAACTTTTAGTCAAAATGTTTTCTCTCTTTAAACTAATTCAGTTAGGCGAATACAGGTATCTCAAATTGGAATCAAGGTGACAGCATCAAGTGTTGAAATTCGTAAAGCAACATTTCACTCTCTTAACACTTAACTTGTGTAATAGAGTGACGTGTGCAGATTCCCAGAATCCCAACTAATTCAACCAATGACAGGGATGCATTTTGACAGACAAGACGGACAATTGAGGGAAAATATCCTGCATTTTGAATGTCCGATAGTGCACCATTAACACCTTAGTCCCGTCCCGTATCGTCAACGAAAACAAAATATACATTTCGTCATAGTTTTTATTATCAAAAATCTATTTTTAGCTCGTCATCGTCTCGTCATGTAAAAAAGGTCGTTGACGAACTTAACACTGATTGAAATCACACAGAAGTCCATTCTCCAATAATATATTAACATAACCAGGTTACTCAAATGTCCTTTCATGCATTACCTGATTATACCAGAAACAATCAGCTTTCCACATGGCTTCAGAAGCACTGAGTTACACAATCTAATAACCTCAGGCGACATTTACAAGATGATCTTCTGCAGCAGACGTGGATTATTTGCAGATCAGTGGGTTTGTCACAGAGTATAAAAATGCATCAAAGCCGTGCAGTGTCACAAATCTACTGGAAAACATGGCTGGCACGCTCACAGAGCTCCATCAGAACTGAACAGAAAAACACTTTATAATTCTCAAATATTGAGCATTTCAACAACATCGAAAAGAGTGTGACTTTCCACATTGAGCGTGTTGGTGTGACGAACATCCCTGCAGCTTTTATGGCACAATTATCAACACTACACTGATTAAGCACTGAATTATAGACCAAAAAGCATTTACCTAACAAAACATGGCTTTTGGCAAATTAAACTTGATGAAAGCTATATTTACATTCAGATCTTAGCTTTCACTGCACATTCTAGCTCAGTGATGTTCATCGGTACACATCCTTTTTCTCTGATGCATGAACATCTTGGGAGTAGTTGTAGTGGCAGGACTGGAATTGGGACAATATATACAGTATATATATATATATTAGGGATATATCGAATATCGCGATAAATAAATGTCTCGATACCGTCGTGAGACTGACAAAACCTTTATTTAACCAGGTGGTCCCATTGAGATCATCGATCTCTTTTTCAAGGGAGACCTGTCCAACATGGCAGCAAGTAGGTTACAACATGAACACAAAACAACAGATAACACATAAGGACATCGTATTTACAGGGCTACATTTACATACCTAGAGACATTGACAAGTACCAACAGTATATGTATATCTAGGGAGGCGTGTGGTGCAGTGGGTTGTGCGTTGGTGTTCGAATCAGGGGATAGCAAGTTCGAGTCCCACTGCAGTCAACATGTCGTTGTGTCCCTGAGACACTTCACCCCAAATTGCTCCTGTGGGGATTGCCTACAGCATTGAGTATGTAAGTCGCTTTGGATAAAAGCGTCTAACAAGTGACATGTCATGTAATGTAATATCTCACCCTGTCAATAAGCCTCACCTTCTTGGCAAACACTGTATTGTTTTTGAAGTGGTGGAGAGACAATGCACAGTTTGACCCACTGCTGTCACCCATGGCCAAAGCATATCTCTCTGTCCCAGCAACATCAGTACCAAGCGAGAGAGTTTTTTCCACAGCAGGGGATATTGTAAACGCCCAAACATCCCAGCTTCTACCTGGAAATGTGGACATGCTCATATTCCTAAAAAATAACCGGTCTGATGATGCTGAGTGAGTGAGTGAGTTTGAGTTGAGTTACTTGAAAAACTAAAGTGAAACTTGATTTATTCTATTGCAGGGTCTGATTATTATATTTTTGACACTTTAAAATACTACTATCCTACTAAAATGCTGTACAAATCAGATTTATTATTTAATAAAGAACATTTTTTCAAGTAAAAAATAAATAATAATAATTCACTTTATTTATTTTTTATTTATTTTTCAATATCGCAATAAATATCGTACCGTGGACTTGTTATCGCGATATTATCGTACCGTGAGTCTTTGGTATCATTACATCCCTAATATATATAGTGACCATGTCTGGAAAATCATACATTTAGACCACGTAAATGTTAGAACCGAGGAAAAAGACATAATACGAAGTCCAAAATCTAAGACAATATCTAGCCTCATATCCCAATATTTATAAAATATCGATATATTGCCCAGTCTTACCAAAAGCTTCGTTCAGCATGGGCTCCTTGGCCTCTTCCTCATCGTCATCTTCATCAATCAGAGGAGAATGAGAGAACCTGAGAGAAAACAGAAACAAAATGACATGAAATACTGTTTATACTGATACTGTCAACTCTCTACTGGTGTATGATCGCGAAACACTACTGGATATTAGTTTATTTTCTTGTGTTTTATATATTGTTTTGACATCATGTATGACAGATTTCAGTCTGTGGCTTTAAGTACGGTTGTATTGTCTTGTGTTTTACATTTGTTTTATGTCCTATCTGTTTGGTCAAAATGTATTTATGCTGATTTTTATATATTTATTGATTTACAGCACTTTGGTCAACTCTGTTGTTTTTAAATGTGATATGTAAATAAAGTTGGATTGGAAATACAACTAGTGACATTAAAGTTGTTTTGCTCCAGCTCCAATTCTACACCTTGGCTTCTTCCTCACTTCTTTAATATGTTTCCTTACTTTAATAGATGATGCTTCTTATTTAAATAACCAAGGATGTGTACGTATTTGATTTTACTTTAAAAATATGTCCTTTCATCTTTAATGAATATGTCAGTCGACCCATTGTTTTTTGCCTTTTATCTGCATCTTTCCCTTTGATGTAATAATGTACATGTTTGCCACAGTGGGATGTGTGATGATGTGTGACCTCTGACCTCTGGCTGTTAGCAGAGGGCCGCAGCAGCACCATGATCACCATCAGGATGGTGGAGAACAGCAGGCGCCAGAAAGCATCGTCCACCCACAAGTCCCTCCATCCCTGTGGGGAAGAATAGAAAAGAGTTGATGATGAATTGATGATGATGATATCAGGTCGAAAGGCGAGCTCACTTTTGAATCTGTGTATAAACAAGACATAGGAACCGCATGATGGGAACTGTTGTAGTACATTGATAATTAAAGGTAGGGTAGGTAAGTTTGAGAAACCGGCTCGAGATCGCTAGAATTTGAAAATACACAGCCGGAGAAAATCTGCCACTTCCTTACAGAGCCCCTCCTCCAACACACACGAACACGCACATGACCAATGAGGGCACGAGATAAGTTTGTGCACAGATGGAAGGCTGACAGGCAGGTAGGCCATCCAGTTATTTTAGCCTGGCCGGCTCAGATGATTGGTCGTGCTTTTTCAGTACTACAGCTTCCACAGATGATATTTATTTATGGATTTTTTGTCAAAGCACTTCAGATATTCATTGCTATCGGGATGTTAAGAGCATTCCATGGAATATAACAAAAAGTGTATCTCGAGCCGGTTTCTCAAACTTACCTACCCCACCTTTAAGTCTCATTTAATTATATACAATTATTCTTGGGTTTTTCCCACAGTTTCAGTTTGATGCAAGCTACGGCTATCACTCCCAAGCGTCTTCCCACCTTCAACACACAGACTGGCTTCCTTTTGTTCTCATTCAACAGACAGAAGGGTGTGACCATTGTCTGGAGAATGATCATCACTGTCTAGCCTCCAATATTCAATACCCTGTAATGTAGAATTTCATTGGCTGTTCACCTTCCCATCTTTTGCCCTCTCCTCTGTATAAATGACACTGTGTAACTTGGTCAGATCTCCTTTCTTACCACATCAGTGGAACGGGTTATCTGTCCTTACAAGCTGGACATATTGATTCTGTTAAATGCTATGACTCTTTATTAAATAACACAACTTTGGTTTTTAGCTTGTATATTTGTTCTTTTCTTACTAGAAGATGATTAAGTGTGGAATTTCCACCACAGGAACATAATACAGTAATGGATGAATGACGGAGAACACACTGACCCTCTGGCAGTCCACCAGCTTGAACACTTTGGTGGTCCAGATGATGAAGATGATGGAAGCTGTGGACACAGAGACATCAGGATCAGTTTGAAGTGTGTGAACAATATGCAAAAATAATGAGAAACAGCACTGGACATCTCCCATCAGTGGAAGCTAAACTGGAAAATGTCATACTAACTAAAGATGAGGCAATGCATTTACATATTTTGCATTAATGAGGAGCATAAATTGACCAGAAGAGAAACGTTGTATTACATTTCACTGGGATACAGAATCAGAAATACATTCATAGAAACGGGGGGAAATTGGTTTTCCTGACAGTTGTTTTAATTTAGAATGAATAAAATAAAATGTAATATATTATATAAGCCTGGGTCAGTGAAAAGGTAACAAAATCAATGCCACCTCTTAAGCTATAACAATGTCTCTATTGAAACTAAAATGATATATACTGTATGAGATGCAATAAATCAAAATCAATGTCGTTGATAATCATTTACATTTTCCAGAATGTGAAAAGGAAAATAAAACTTTACAGGAATGATTCAAACAAAAAAACAACAACAACCAACTGGCATTTAACAGGAATATGAGTTTATTTTTGGTAGTGATGATTAGGAATTAGGGTTGCAAAATTCCGGGAATTTTCAAAGATGGAAACTTTCCATGGGAATAAACTGGGAATTTTCTAAATTGAAGGTTGGCTCTTCGTAGGGAACTTAAATATAGTTGGGGAAAGTATATTTTAGCATAATCTTGACTAAAACAAACAGATGCCATTCAAGTACACTTGAATATCCATGCCATTCCTCAATCACATGCACATAGCACACTGCTTGCTGCATGGCTATTGAGACCACACCCCCTACAGGCACTGTGCATTCCTCCATCACATGCACAGATGATTTCTAGAAGACTGGATCACACTTTTGAGCCCAAAGCACAAGACAAATGAAGCCACACATTTGAGCCTGTGGACTACACAAAGTGAAGTGAGTTTTGATGATATTATGGGGTAATATATTTATTTAATGTTTAAATTGCAAATATCACGGTTGTGTTTCGCCAACAACAACCGAGTGTTTCGAGCCAGGTCCCGGTATCTCGCAGGACAGTGCACCCAGCAGGAGCCTCCAGCTAGATTTGATCGATATGGACATAAACGCGAGTGAAGTCTAATCGGACAGGAGAGATAGCAAGTTCGAGTCCCACTGCAGTCAGCATGTCGTTGTGTCCCTGGGCAAGACACTTCACCCCAAAATTGCTCCTGTGGGGATTGCCCACAGTATTGAGTATGTAAGTCGCTTTGGATAAAAGCGTCTAACAAGTGACATGTAATGTAATGCAAAAAGCAGACGGCGCTGCGCTCAACACACACACAGACTCAAAACCATGGACACACCGGCACATAAGTTACATAAACAATTTATAGGCCTAAGTTGCATAAATGCTTGAGCTACAGTATTGCTGGTGGTGTCACCCTGGGGTCACGAGCGTGAGGGCGAATCATAATTTTTTAAGGAAATTGTTTTTATTTGTTATTATAATTACTGTGAAATGTATTTTGTTTTCGTCATTATTACAACAAATACACACTTCAGGGTTCATACACTTTTTCACGAATGATTTTCAATGACTTTTCCATGACTTCTCCATGACCTTTACCTAATTTTCCATGACCAAAAAAATTACTCTTTCTCAGTGGTACCACATGGAACAGGAAAATAAGGTCTGCATATGAAACATGTTGTGCCTATCTAAAACAAATCAAATAGGCTTACTAGCTTCTACACGCTAAAGCAACTAAAATCTCTTACCAGCAAAATACCTCGTCAGTTAAATTTTATGTTTCATTACTATACGATACAGTATTTACTATTTCGGCGATTAGATAAAATCTAAATTATATTTGATGCAACTTTAGTTACATTTCCATGACTTTTCCAAAACTTTGGGAAAAATATTGTTTTCCATAACTTTACCAGGGCCTGGAATTAGCATTTTGAATTTCCATGACTTTTCCAGGTTTTTAATGACCGTAAGAACCCTGACACTTATAACACTGGCAATGATTTTATATTTATTAGACTATTCAAAAATCATGCTTAAAAAATAAGTCTCCAAATAAGTGGGGGAACGGCGATCCCCCGCGTCCAACGACCACTATACCACTGGTAATCGTAGCATATATGTAATTTTTATGAAGCAGCTATATCTGAACTAAAACTCGGCTCTACTCGATGAAATCCATCCTACAGCGGAGTGTACTCACCGACCACAGAGAAGATGAGCGTGTTGGTGAAGTGTTTGTAGAGAGCCAGCTTCACGACGTTTCTGCGCAGCTGCAGGAGGCGAATGGTCTGAGACAGGCTGATGAAAATGTGGAGGCAAATTAAGGAGAACATACTCTATATACATCTGAGTAACAACAATTAAAGGCTTATATCGGCAACTGTTTTGATAAAGCAACTCCTTCAGAAGGCAAGTTAGGTAAAGGATATCCACCACATGACGCAGGAGTCAATAAGGGAGAGGCCGAGGTTCGCCACCAGAGCCACCGTCCCGTAGAAACCCTGAAAACACAAGACAAGATATAAAGAATTAGTCAATCTTAAAGGAAGACACATGAGATAAGCTTGCGTGGAAATACATTTTGAGTCAATATTAAATACAATGAATTATAATAATAATACATTTTATTCATACAGCGCTTTTCTGGAAACTCAAAGAGAATTTACAGGGTAAAAAAAATCATAAAAACATAATTAAAACAACACACTTAAAATATATAATTAATTCAAAATATAAATTACAGATTAAAAGCTTAAAGCAGATTAAAATAGAAAAATACAAATAAATAAAATAAAGGAAATTTAAGTACAAATTCAAATTAATATATATATTTATTAGGAGTTGCATACACCTGCTCTTTTATACATCCGTCATACTCAAAATAGGCTTTTTTTATTAGCATATTAAGATTATATCTATTCATGATGTTAAAGGTCCCCTATTATACTGTTTTTCCTCAATATATCACAGGTCTCAGATATATCCAGAGCCTGTCTCTGATTGGCTGAAACCCCAAAAAGATCATTGCAGCATCCCATAATCCCCTCTGTTTCAGCCCTGTTTCCAAAGTGCTGATTCTCTGTCTGTTACTTTAGATGAAAATAAGGAGCCCCTCCCCACGCCCCTCTGAGATATTTGGTTAAAAAGAACACAATGGTGCTCTAGGAGGAGATTCAGGTGATAAGGTGGGGGGGGGGTGGTTACCTTGGTTGGTGATTGGTTACACAAGACAAAACATCGTTATGACATAAAGTGGCCAACATCTGATCAGCTCATTTTCAGACATGTTTTTATATAAATGGATCAGGACAAAAAGAGAGAGAATCTTTGTTCCTGAAACTTTCAGAGTCTCTTTACACAGAGGGGACACATGTTGATGTAGAAGAGACATGAAGAAGAGGGGACACATGTTGATGTAGAAGAGACATGAAGAAGAGGGGACACATGTTGATGTAGAAGAGACATGGAGAAGAGGGGACACATGGTGATGTAGAAGAGACATGAAGAAGAGGGGACACATGTTGATGTAGAAGAGACATGGAGAAGAGGGGACACATGTTGATGTAGAAGAGACATGAAGAAGAGGGGACACATGTTGATGTAGAAGAGACATGAAGAAGAGGGGACACATGTTGATGTAGAAAAGACATGAAGAAGAGGGGACACATGTTGATGTAGAAGAGACATGAAGAGGAGGGGACACATGTTGATGTAGAAGAGACATGAAGAAGAGGGGACATGTTGATGTAGAAGAGACATGAAGAAGAGGGGACACATGTTGATGGAGAAGAGACGTGAAGAAGAGGGGACACATGTTGATGTAGAAGAGACATGAAGAAGAGGGGACACATGTTGATGTAGAAGAGACATGAAGAAGAGGGGACACATGCTGATGTAGAAGAGACATGAAGAAGAGGGGACACATGTTGATGTAGAAGAGACAGAAAGAAGAGGGGACACATGCTGATGTAGAAGAGACATGAAGAAGAGGGGACACATGTTGATGTAGAAGAGACATGAAGAAGAGGGGACACATGCTGATGTAGAAGAGACATGAAGAAGAGGGGACACATGTTGATGTAGAAGAGACATGAAGAAGAGGGGACACATGCTGATGTAGAAGAGACATGAAGAAGAGGGGACACATGTTGATGTAGAAGAGACATGAAGAAGAGGGGACACATGCTGATGTAGAAGAGACATGAAGAAGAGGGGACACATGTTGATGTAGAAGAGACATGAAGAAGAGGGACACATGTTGATGTAGAAGAGACATGAAGAAGTGGATTTTGCATAATAGGTGACCTTTCACAATGACTTAAATGCCATTCTATAGGCCTCTGTTGATATCTGGTAAAGATTTAAGTCTCCCCTCCACACCACATCTGCTCCACTTTACCTCCTGTCTGTCCTATCCAATGTTTTTTATAACATTGTGTTGCCATGATGTTTTCCATCTTGCTTCAGTGTCCTTGGCTGTGTTTGAGTTTCACTCTGGATCAAATATGTCATTCCCCATCATCATAACAACATGTCTGCCTTAGAGACACTGAATCCCTGCGTAACCTTCCCTCTCCACTCACATCAGCTTCATTCATACCGAGTGCCTTGAGAAGCTGATTTTATGATAAAATACACGACCGCTATCGGCTTCAATCAGCCTGCGGAGGATAATGTCCCATCAGCAGCGGGCACTTTATATTCTCCTGGATCATATTCATCAGTAGCCACAAGGAATGATGCATTAAGAGTGAGGGAAGTGAAAAATAAATGATGTGTGACCTCTCTCATCCTTTTTTATATATATGTTGGGATATAGTAAAGCTCCTCTGGGTTGTTTTGGTGATATAGATCATTAGTGTGTCCTGTGTCGTCACTTTACAGGATCTCCAATTTCTGTGTTTGCCTTTTGCTGCCCTCTAAAGCTTGTTAGTTGCAAGTGCACACAGTTGTAATACTTTAGATTTACTTAAAGGTCACCTATCATGCTATTTGTAGGCAATAGCATAGGTCTCAGATATATACAAATATATAAAAAACATGTCTATTAAGTGTTTTGCTCAAAATACCAAACAGATCACCCATTCTAGCCATGCCTCATATCCCTCTATTTCACTTCCTGTTTCTAAAGTGCTGATTTGGGGTATAAAGCTTTAAAAAAAAAAATATTTGATAACAAATAAAAAAGGAGGGGTCTGAGCTCATGCAGGACCCGGCAGCTACTGTCTAAACTAAATACTGCCGTGATGAAACGCCATATCATGGATTATCAAGGATTATTTCTGAAACAGTATGGAGCTCAAAGGCTTTCTCTCTTGCCGGTTATACCACAAGGTGAGTTCCTTTTTATTTCCTGCTTCTTCACACACATGCTCTCCAGTACAGGTTAGCTCTGAGTGTTAGCGATGCTAATGTAAACACTGACCATATTACGTCCAAAACAGTCGGGCATTGTTTCTGATAGCAACGTTTCTGATAGGGCCGTGGGTGTAAAGCCAGCCTACATTTCCGATATTACGTCATATCGGACGCAAATCTGGATCAGCTCCGTTGTAGCCCCGTTTTTACAGATTTGGGTACGGAGGAAAAGAGAGAGGGTTTTATTTTCTGACGCTGCGTGAGTTCCCCGACACACCAGGGACACATATTTATGTATAGAAGACATCAAAAAGTGCATTTTGCATGATAGGTCCCCTTTAAAATACAAACCTTGCTATTGATTGTAATTAAGAATAGTTATAAATACTGAATTTCCTCTGAACACATGGGGGATTTACGCACATAAATCCAACATGAACGTCTGATATTAGCCTCAGGGTTTATTGTTCACAGTTAATGTGAATCAAACTTCTTTTATTGCCACTGCTTCAAAATAAAAGCATTAAACTGGCCCTGTAGCTTTTATTTTGAAAGGGTTACAAGGAAGTACATTTAGATGAATAGAGGACATTTAGAGAGATAGAGTTATCTTAAGTGTTGTTGTTTTTCTTAAATAAATTTAAAAAAAAAATTCTGTATCCAAAAACCTGGGAGGATGTTTTGGTTTGACAGTCTGGTATATTTGAAGAATTAGCAAGCACATTGCATCTGTTTCTCCAAGTAGGCTTAACACACATATAGAGAATGATATCGGTTTATTATCTGGAGATGAATAATAGTTGATACTTACTCCTGTGACTCGGAGCACACCTTCCACAGAGGAGAAGAGCAGGTAGAGGAGCCCGACAGCTGCCAGCCGGTGCACTGATGTGCCCAACCTGGGTCTACACAAGGGAGGGGGACACATTATACTCACAGATTATTGACATGAGATCATTAGCAGCATGCATTCATTAGGTTTTAAATGTAGAAAGAACCAGGGCCTCGTTCCCCCTGTTCTTGGACAACAATCCCTTCCTAAAACCCCCAACATTTCACAAAGATTCTGACATTCATGTTTTTTTAATAGGGATTTGTTCTTAGGTAAGGACAGCACACTTACTCACATTTAAGTACTGAATGTTTTATGCTAAATAAAGTGTTTTCTTCAATTCTACAGTTGTATCATATAGGATTTAAAAGACCATGACATTTATATGAGTTATAGTACATTTAAATAAAAAAGTATGGTCTTTTACGGTTAATTAAAATGGCACAAACCGTTATAACATTTGATGCATCTTTTTATTCGAATCCACTACTGAGGCTGATGAAAAATAAATGAAATGAAGGTTGTTTGGCGTGCACGTCTGCAGAAGCACCTCCACTTCAGGCTCTGGGACTTTATTTTTGGCATTCCTGACATTTCTGTGTGTGCAAACAGCCCTCATGTCTAGTGCCCTCTTATTATGAGGATTTGCCGGCTGTTTTCCTGCTAGTTAGGATACCCAAGCTTTTCATTTGAAATGACAATGAGATCCATCATGGTAAGAAAACAGGAAAGCACAATTCCTCAGTTTAGGAAAATGTTCCAAAATCTTATGTAGACTTTCCTTCGTATGTCACACTGTCCCGAAATTGACACCAGATGGACACACGATAAAGGAAATGTTCAAATTCGGCATCTTAAACCATCGTATGACCGCCGGTGGAGTTTCTCAGGCTCCGGCAGCAACTTCGTGAGCGGTGGCAAAATCTTTGGCATGCCAAAAAAATGCCGAAAGACCTTGCGAAGGTTCATTTTCGTGTTGAATTCGTGTGTCCATTTTGCCCTTCGTAAGGCACTCGTGAGGGCATCTTGTCAAATCGTGTCATCTTCGTCTTTACTTCGTGTGATCATCGGTGCCATCGGGCATTTTTCGCTTCACGAAGACAATACGAAGGAAACAAGAAGCTGCCCGATTGTCTTAGGGAGGCAACACGACTACGCGAAGCCCTCGCAATGCCGTCGTGTAGCCATCGTATTATAGTACAATTTGTGTTCTGTGAAACTGAAAAGGATATTACATTGTTTTTGTTACTTTCGTTGCAGTTGTATGTCTTAAAGGTGGGGTAGGTAAGTTTGAGAAACCGGCTCGAGATACACTTTTTGTTATATTCCATGGAATGCTCTTAACATCCCGATAGCAATGAATATCTGAAGTGCTTTGACAAAAAAATCCATTAAAAAAATATCATCTGTGGAAGCCGTAGTACTGTAAAAAGCACGACCAATCATCTGAGCCGGCCCGGCTAAAATAACTGGATGGCCTACCTGCCTGTCAGCCTTCCATCTGTGCACAAACTTACCTCGTGCCCTCATTGGTCATGTGTGCGTTCGTGTGTGTTGGAGGAGGGGCTCTGTAAGGAAGTGGCAGATTTTTTCCGGTTGCGTATTTTCAAATTCTAGCGCACTCGAGCTGGTTTCTCCAAAATTACCTACCCCACCTTTAAATGTAATTTAGGTTAACTTCCTGTTTTATTTAGATGGTTTTATTTTGAAGGCGAGTTTACGCTGTTGACAGGAAGTTGTTGTTGCTATGGAAACAACATGATGGAGTGTGTGGTTCGGGTGCCATCGTGTGGCCTTCTGTAGGCATCGTACTTGCTTCGGCTGTTGCTTGGCTGTTGACCAAGTTCGGGGCCATCTTCGTGCGAAATTCACAATTCGTGTGTCCATCTGGTGTCAATTTCGGGACAGTGTGACGCGGGCTTTACGGATCGTTCTCAAGAACACATTTAGGAACAAACTTTAGAGGATATTGGTGAAGGACAATGAACTAATCTAACTAATTGTTTAAGTACTGAGACATTAGGTAAGTCAATAGGTTAAAAGAGTGAACTTACTTGACTATGCCGTATCCGAGACTGACGATGAGCACCAGGATTCGAGCGAGAGATCTTTTGAGAGCAGAGAGCAGCTCGGCAAAAATCACTGCGCCTTGGACTGTGAAGAGAAAAATACACAAAGAAAATGTTTATGATATCAGACTGAAGGGAAGAACTGTAATGGAAAATGGTATCATACTAAGGGAGCATTTAAAGTTCACCATCTGTTCTTCTTTTACAAGCTATTTCTAACAACAGGTAGCAGCAATAACCTAAATGACTCTTACATGGACAGTAGACATGATGCTTCTCCATTTGATAGCAGATGTGTTTTAAAGAATCCTATATATAGTATGTTTATCTTGTCTGTTTGTCCCTCCTTTTCTATTCTTGGTGTGAATATGTGGATATAAGACCCTCTGCAGACCTTCTGACTTTTGTATTTCGCTGCAGACTGCCTGACACTCTGTGCAAGAATAAACTCCCTAAAAGACCGTCTTATTCCAAGAATCTTCATTTCAGTATAACGGAAAGGTTTCCTCACCATTTTATTATTATTTACTGGTTTGTCTCAGTACATTTCCACCACAAAACATACACACAGAGAAGCAGATATATCAAACAAACGCACCGTAGTCTCCTTTGTAGCGGATGCTCTGGTACTCTGAGTAAAACACGGCTTTCTCCAGCATGCCGAGGATGATGACGGCTCCAATCCAGAACTGGATCCGCAGCAGATCTCTCCAATAACACGCGCACCAGAAGAGCCACAGAGCGCCGAACAGCACGTACACGATGCACATCAACATGAAAAACTGACAGCGACACGAGAGAGAGGAAAGAGTATTAAAACAGAGTTAAGATCAGGGTGTGTGACTGCAGGAATAGTGGTTTGCAGAAAAATGGGAGAAACGGTCATTATCGCATATCAAACAACTGACTTAGTAAGAGGAACCGGTATAACAAATGGACTAGTGAGAATGTGAGTTTTTATTTTTAAGCATTTGTATTTGTATAAATAACTGTATTTGTATATAATGTGAATATACAGTACATGTACAACTGTTGGTATGTGTGACATATTAATGATTGAAAACGAAAAAAGCTCAGTGTTTGTACAACATTTCAAGAGAAGAAAATCACGCATTTTCAAGGTTCCTAAACCAAAAAGTCCCGAATCTCTAAGCCAGGGGTGTCAAACTCAAATACACAGTGGGCCAAAATAAAAAAAAATGGGTACTAGTCGAGGGCCGGACTGTTTCAATGTTTATTGCAAAACTTATTGAAATGAACTTATTGCACATATTAAACCTGGAACTAACAAAGCTTAAATGATTGCCTATAAAAACAACATTAAACATTAAATAATCAGTTGCATTCATTTCTTATGGCTCTATCTGCAGCTTTTCCAGAGTCATTTCTTATGAGTACATTTTTCCACAGGCCAACAACAGCTTCAAAAAAACTATTTCCCTCAAAGAACAAACCAAACATGCCCTGTTGTCGTGAGAGAAAAAGTGCAGAAGGAAACATTGAAACTCAGTTTGCTGCTCTGTGATGCTAGTTCAAGCCAGATACTTGGCATCTCATCTTGGGTGCAAGTTCATCAATGTTTGGGGTCAGGCTCTGAGCTGAGGAAACCCTCAGGATTGAGTGAAGGTGTGCGTGCAATATACCGGCGAGCCAGATCGAATAGTAATTAGAAATTATCCTGCGGGCCGAAATTAAATCCACCAAGGGCCTGATTTGGCCCCCGGGCCTTGAGTTTGACACGTGTGCTCTAAGCCTTCTTTCACCACACCTTTAAAATGTAACTGCAAACAATAAAGCTTACGGAATCTATGTACACCCTCACAGTTTTACATCCTATTTAGCCTTTTTAATTGATGTTAAAATGTATTAAGTAAAATGCCTGAATATTAATTCTTGACCTTGGAAACAACAGTTTGCCACAACATCTCTAACGTTCTGTTTCTGAAGCTTTAAACTACATGAACCCTAAGTTAAGGCAGGCAACTTAATCTATATATGTCAATATCACAAACCATACATATGCCTTCTTTATCTGCTTTAAAATCCATGCAGCATATGACACCCTCTCTCCTTAGACTCTGGATTAGGATTAGATAAACTCCCCAAACTAGAAAAGACATGCAGGTTTCAAGTTAGAAATGATTACGGCAAAAAGGTCTGTTTGCTCCAGACTGCAATTCCCACAATTTCCTGTGTTCAGGTTAAGTTGGAACCACACCATTGGTGTTGAAGAGGTGCTTTTATCTACTTATCTTAAAGTGCACCTATCCTTTAGGCAATAGCATAGGTCTCAGATATATACAAATATATAAAAAACATGTCTATGAAGTGTTTTGCTCAAAATACCAAACAGATCACCCATTCTAGCCATGCCTCATATCCCTCTATTTCACTTCCTGTTTCAAAAGTGCTGATTTGGGGTATAAAGCTTTAAAAAATAAAAGATTGATACAAAATAAAAAAGGAGGGGGCTGAGCTCATGGGGGACCCGACAGCTACTGTCTAAACTAAATACTGCCGTGATGAAACGCCATATCATGGATTATTTCTGAAACAGTATGGAGCTCAAAGGCTTTCTCTCTTGCCGGTTATACCACAAGGTGAGTTCCTTTTTATTTCCTGCTTCTTCACACACATGCTCTCCAGTACAGGTTAGCTCTGAGTGTTAGCGATGCTAATGTAAACACCGACCATATTACGTCCAAAACAGTCGGGCATTGTTTCTGATAGCAACTTTCTGATAGCAACGTTTCTGATAGCATTGTTTCTGATAGCAACGTTTCTGATAGGGCCGTGGGTCCACATTTCAGATATTACGTCATATCGGACGCAAATCTGGATCAGCTCCGTTGTAGCCCCGTTTTTAGAGATTTGGGTACGGAGGAAAAGAGAGAGGGTTTTATTTTCTGACGCTGCGTGAGTTCCCTGACACACCGGGGACACATGTTTATGTATAAAAGACATCAAAAAGTGCATTTTGCATGATAGGTCCCCTTTACAACCCTTCCCTTGGATTGATCATACATACCATCATCAGAGGCCAGTCTGCAGGAGAGGAGTAGTCATGTGGTCCCTTCATCTCCACTTTCACTGGGGAAATACAAATAAAAAAAGTCACTTCTGCTGACACTAAAATGTCACTTCTTACATTTTCAATCATCAGACCTCAGTGTTTTATCTACTGAGTAACAATTACTTTATCCTAGAGCTTTTGGAGTGAAATGTTGTCTCACTTGTGAAGGCGAAGTTGAGCTGCTCCGCTTCTTCGTCGTCGACTCCGCGGAAAATGGGCTGCACTTTCACTATGAACAGGTAGGGACTGTCCCCCCAGGCCTTGGCCACGGCACTGATATCCTGCAACAACAATGTTTGTGAGCAACAAATCATAGGCTATCTACTTACATGTTTTCTATGAACCCCCACTTAAACCACAAACCAATAAATGTGTTCGCAATAAGCTCAACATTTGAAAAAAAATAAAGCTTCCAAGGTCATGGTCATCCTAGAACAGAAGTCTCAGTGGGATATTCTTCCTTTACTGCTTTTGCATTCAACCTGGCATTAGTTTGCATTAAATGAGGGGTTACCGACTTGAGGCTATTCAATCAGCTGTTATTGTACCATCTAATTCAAATGTATGACATTTTAATCACCTTTTTGTCTGACAGGCATTGGTTCCAAATTGGTACATTTGTCTTTTCTGTAGTTTTTACATTCCACATTTGTTAGTCTTACCGTCAGCTTCTCAGTCATCAGTAAATCACTTTGATCTGCACTAACCTGTATTAAAAGTGCTTTATAAATCCTGACCTCTGGCATATATAACATACATTTAAAGACATTTGAATGATCAATAACAACAACATGTCTTACCGGTTTGTCAGGCCAAATGAGGCTCTGATTGGACGGGTCACTCTAAACAGAACAGAGCACATAGTGAGCTGTAATTCATGGAGTTTTGCAGTGTAAAATAAACCCAGTCTTACATTCAGACACAGATACAGATTGTATATATTGTGCTCTATATTGTTCAATGCACTTTAGTAGGCACTGTGAGGTTGACTCACCTTGGGGCTGGTGAGGGGCTGATATGGGTTGAAGTCGGGGTAATACACCTGGGTGAGAGGATAAAGAAATATGATTACATTAATGATTGTTTTTCAAATGTTCTCACAACTATATTGCAGAATCTCCACTTCCGTCCACTGCAGATGCTTCGGCTCTTTTCTAAAGGAAATGCATGATACATTTTTAGAACAAAGTAAATTACCTTCCACACTTTGATCTAAACTATATTCACACACAAACAAAGTCAAATAGATGTTAAGGGACTGTCTCTTAATTACAGTTTCACTTTACTTAAACTACACCCACTTCACCATCAGCAACTTCAAGTGAATTTCAAAATGAAAGCTCATCATATTGAAGGTTTAAAGGTCACCTATTATGCAAAATCCACTTCTTCATGTCTCTTCTACATCAACATGTGTCGATGTTGATGAGACTCTGAAAGTTTCAGGAACAAAGATTCTCTCTCTTTTTGTCCTGATCCATTTATATAAAAACCTGTCTGAAAATGAGCTGATCAGATTTTGGCCACTTTATGATGTCATAACGATGTTTTGTCTTGTGTAACCATTAGCCAATCACCAACCAAGGTAACCCCCCCCCACCTTATCACCTGAATCTCCTCCTAGAGCACCATTGTGTTCTTTTTAACCAAATATCTCTCAGAGGGGCGTGGGGAGGGGCTCCTTATTTTCATCTAAAGTAACAGACAGAGAATCAGCACTTTGGAAACAGGGCTGAAACAGAGGGGATTATGGGATGCTGCAATGATCTGTTTGGTGTTTCAGCCAATCAGAGACAGGTTCTGTATATATCTGAGACCTGTGATATATTGATGAAAAACAGTATAATAGGGGACCTTTAAGGCTTTTCTTTTAAAGGCTACAATAAAATGCATGTAGCAAAATATTTGAAATACCTTGATATCCGCCATTAAATAACCTCCGCACTGATAAACAGGGAGGGCAGACTTCCTGTGAGCACATACTGATGATTCCGTTTGCAACCATTTGTTAATGTCCTTCCCAAAAGTGAGACTTAAAGTGTGTTGTGGTCCCAAACCTTTGGTAAGAAGAGGGAGGAGCAGTTCTCGAAGTACATGTAGCCGTGGCTGTAGAAGCCGCTCCAGTCCTCTTTCAACATGTGATCCATGTCGAACATGTTCATCGCCTTGTTGTCCTGCAGGAAGGAGAGCGCAGGAATTTCAGAAAAATCAAATGTTATTTATTTATAGAATACACACATGCACACGACCCGTACACATGAGGTCTGAATACATACATACATACATACATACATACATACATACATACATACATACATACATACATACATACATACATAAACATGCATTTTTGTATTATGGAAACTGCTGCCATGAATATGTGTATAAACTTGTCTTGCAAAAAATCAACAAAACCACATATACTTGTGTTTGTTACATCCATGACAAAACAACCCGACTTTAAGTAATACTCACCGGCGTGTTGAAGACCTCGTTGTAGCAGACAGAGGAGCGCAGGTACCAGCTGATGTTGAAGGCCAGGTTTTTATCACATGACGCCGTGTCACCCTGGACTGAAGAGAGAGGAAAGAGAGTGACTCACAGCGTGGAGAACGGGGTTATAAGACAGTGTAATAAAGCCATACATCACACCAGCTGTTCCAGATCATCAGGAGTTACTTTGTGTGGTAAAATCTACTTTTTATGTCCAGACTTTCACCCAGCGTCCCATTCAGCTCTATTTCAAAAGGTGACTTTGGCTATTTCCCTACGACATGTTGCTGCAATGCATCCTGGTCTATTTTCTACTACAGTGGGAGTAGAAATAATATCTCTCCCTCATTGTGGATTTCTCAATTATGTCTGGTGAAAGCAGCTCTGAGGGTTCTGACTTCTACTATCAAAAAGGGCTGTATCGAATACATTATTTCATTACATTTCAAGTTTTAATTGAGGTTTCTGAATAACGCTGTCTGTTGTCATATTTTATGACTTCATCACCGTTTAAAAAAAAAATCCTAAGGCTTAATTTTGAAATGTTTACTCAGCTAAACTGAGTTAAGAGAATCTATTTTTGAAATGTTTTATTGGTTAAACATTGTAGTAAATACTTATTTTGTTCACAGTAATACATGATGGGATATTGGCCAACTGTATAGATACAGGATTTAATTGTATAGGCCAGTTGCGAACCGTCAGGGCCTTCAAGTATTCAGAGAATACCCTGGAACACTCAGATAAAACAAACAAAAAATCAATTTAATTATATAAATAAAATGAATAAATGAGAATGGTATCTGTGTTGTTGATCTGTAATATTACAGTGTTACGTTGATTTGTTTGTCCTTCTCGGTCCATGCACTACGCATTTGAGTGGTTTTGTATCAGATCTGTTTCTGGGTCTCAGGGTAGAATATCCTTCAACAATATATTCTATATCCTTGATAGAATACCCTGGCCCTCACACTGAATGAGAGCGTACGTTTGGACTGACAGTTTGATCAACCAATCATATATTGATTTGTAGCCAATGGGCGTATTCTTTCAGAGTTTCCCTCGGTTCCAGGTGCTCTAGAAGGCCCGGTACTAGTAATACTGTTAGTCACAATAAAAAGGAGACTTCTAAATACTCACACTTCATGAAAATGGTGGTGTTGGCGTACAGCGTCTTTCGAAACACTGCATCCTGTGTCTGAAAACAAAACAAACACACAGCAGTCAGGTGACATGGAGCCACGTCAGGTCAAACAGCATGCCGTCAGCGACAGGATACAGGAGGAGAGACATATCACACCGACTGAATAATACTCTGTTTCATAGTGTGAGGGAAGGATGAACACTTTAACTGAGGAAAGTAATAATAGGGCTGCACACTTTGAGGAAAATATGCGAGAAAGTTGTTATATATCACACTAATCACTTTACTTGCAATAAGAACAACATATTTAAGTTGACTTATTAGTTCTGTTACTTTCAGTATACTGCTAGAAAAAATGCTTGTTGAAGTAAGATAGATATTATTTAAGATTATTTCCAACTAAAGTATGTTTTTAATAATATGTGTTACAACTACTATTACATACTGTACTATAACGTACTATCTAACATTATGATAATATGTTATACTCTCTTATAACACATACACTATACTTTAGATATGGCAATGCAAATCTTAAGTCCCAAGCTCCTTCCACAATGCAACATACATATATATATATATATATATATATATATATATATATATATATATATATATATATATATATATATATATATATATATATATATATATATATATATATATATATATATATATATATATATATATAAGACATAAAACAATAAAACAAATACAAATGTAAAAATAGTGCAATAAGATACAGAGTAGAATACAATAGTGCAGGTTATGTTGCAAGACCAATGTGCAAGTAATGCAAATGAAGTAAACTATATACATGTCAGAAATAAATAAATACAATAAGCTAATGTTGCAGAGAATGTTTTAAGTAAAAGCAGGATTTAGTATTACATAGTACATAACATTATTATTATTATTTTGTTTATTGAATATTGTGTAACTTGCACAATAACTTGATGATGATGATTACAGTCTTATCTTATCTTATATTATCTTAACAGTTGCTGATGAAGATTTAGCACGACATGCTAACAGTTGCTAATGTACAGTTAGCACGACAGGCGAACAGCTGCTAATGTAGACTTAGCATGACATGCTAACAGCTGCTAATGTAGATTTAGCACGACTTGCGAAACATCTGCCAATGTACAGTTAGCACGACATGCTAACAGCTGCTAATGCAAAGTTAGCACGACATGCTAACAGCTGCTACTGCACAGTTAGCACGACAGTCTTTAAGGTAATAACGGTTGACATGTAGATGCTAAAGGGTGTAACACTCACCGAGTTGATCTCCACGTTCCACACGGAGACCTCCGCCGCTGAACCGAGGCGGAAAACTAATGCAAAAAGCAGAAAACATGATAACTGATGCGTCTGTGCATCTGGCATCTTCATCTGTGTGGAGCATCAATAACAGGCTCGTATCCGCCTCCAAATCCGGGGTGTAGTTCACAGAGTCACCGCAAGATGGCGACAGAACACTAAGTAAGGCAAGGTAAGTCAAGGCAAGTTTCAACACAAGGCAATTCAAAGTGCTTTACAAAAATGAAAGACATTAAGAGCAATAAGTAACATATTATAAAATGGCATCTATAAACACTAATTTAAAAGCAAAGATAATAAAACATGAATAACAAAAGGAACATGAATTAAAGTTACAGCAGTGTGAGATACACACATCTGAAACTCTCAATCATTGCTAACTTTTTAGCAGAAATAGTTTTCTATGATCTCACTTTCTTTCTACTTTCTTTTTGTACTTATCCTTTAGTTATTTCAAGTGTTTCATGCTAAACGAACCCCCCTTTGGAGAATTCTAATCTGACCCCATGGTAGGCCTACCTTTTAGTTTGAATAACTGACAACTTTAATTTTATTTATAGAACAATCTGGCAAATACATCAGGGTTTAGACTATGTAGAAGTATTTAAGTACGATTAGGACAATGTACTTAAAGTGTTAGGAGTAAAAGTACTCGCAAAAAGAAAACACTTGTTATTATTGATGCATTAATGTGTTCATCACCTCGAAACATTTGGTAAAACTTAATATTATTTACTACTAATGAGTAGCTTAGTAGCTGATTTTTTTTTTGCATTCATAACCCATAAATCAGCAAAGTAACTAAAGCTGTCAGATAAATTATGTAGTGAAGTAAAAAATGTAAGTAGCATGAATAGGAGAAGAAAATGTAAGTTTTAATTTGGAAATTCAAACCGGAAGTACCTATTTCCCCCCCCTCATTTCCTCTGTGATGATCGCTGCTGTCACGATTTCACGCCCTGTCAAAGTCGAGGGGAGTTCATGCAGAAGTTCAGGCAGAATAATAATGTAGTTATTGCTCAAATCAGAAGATTAACCCGAGTGTGAACAGCTGTTTCTTCTTTCTGCTGCTCCACATGGCGGAAGTGAGCCAACCCGTTGTTAGGTAAACAACTCTCTCTGCAGATTACTTTCATTTCTCACATGCATCCAGTGCATTTATATATACAGTCTATGCTTACAACAAAGCAATACGCTTAGCAAGGAGAGACCATGTCTCTAAAATTATCACGGAAAATGGGAGAAATGCTAAAGTGTTATTTTCCACCATTGATCAGCTGATAAACAAAGCCCCCTCCCCACCACAGTCTTCCAATGAAAAGTGTGAAGAACTTGCAGTATTTTTCACAAACAAAACAACGTCAATCAGAACGAGTAGGCCTATAGACGTTAATGGTGTAAACACAGATGATCCCATTAGACCAGCTGGTGTTACCATGGGAAGTTTCACATGCATCACACTGGGAGATCTCTGCAGGACTGAGTAACTCCTCCACTTCATGCGTTTGATTGATTGATTGAAAAGTTTATTAACAGCTTGTATATTGGGTACAGTACAGTACAGCTCAAAACATACAATTGTTAAGGGGATGCAGACCAGAGAAAGACTTTCGTCTTGTTTACATCAGGGTCCCCCATTTCCAATTCATCATATCATTTAAGACATATAAGACATATTTGACATACAGATGGCTTATTTACAATTTACATACAGGTGGTTTTTTACATACAGATGGCTTATTTACAATTTTCATTTTAGATTTCGTTCTAATACATCCTAACCGGACATTTAAGACATACCAAGTCTACAGATATACAGTTAGTAACAGAGTCTAAAATGCGAGTATATACATAGATGGGGGGGGGAAAGCTGTCCATTGTACGACAGGTGAGATTTGTACCATTACCGGGGCCAGTTTTGCAATGCTTTCCCCGAAGGTGCTCTTTAAGAGAGGTTTTGAAGGTAAGTATAGTTTTACTTTCCTTTACAGTTGTGGGAAGAGCGTTCCACCTTGATGTGGCATAATTGCGAAACGTGTATTCCCCTTTTTTGTGCCAAATCTGGGTTTACATGATTTGTGGAGGCTCCCTCTGGTGTTATGATCATGGTATTCCTTGACCTTTGGGAAGAATTTTGACATGTACATGGGTACCATAGAGGTGTAGTGGATCTTGTAGACCAGGCCCATTGCAAGTAGCTGTACTCTGTCGTCTACTCTTAAAGCCATCCTAGGTTGTCAAAGTGGGCAGAGGTGAGGTGGGTTCTAGATGAAAGGTCAGCAGTAGTCTGACCAGTTTATTTTGCGATGTTTGAAGTTTTATTTTTAGGCGCCTTGGAGGTGGCTATGGTACCATGACGTGCAAGCATAGTCATAGTACCCTTGAATGAGTGCTCCTGCCAGAGTTTTCAGGGTGTTTTTGTTTACGCAGAGAGGAGATCCGGTATAGGAATCTAGTTCTTTGATTGACTTTTTTATTACATTGGATGCCATTTTGTCACAGGAGAGGTTTGCCTCAAGAATAGATCCTAGGTATGTAATTTCCTTCTTACTTGTGACAATAATGTCACCCACTGCAACTGAGAAGTCGTCGGATTTGCTGAGATTATGTTTCGAACCGAAGAGAATGGACTCTGTTTTACCCAGGTGTAATGATAATTTATTATCGGCGAGCCAGGTGCAGATTCTGCCGAGCTCGGAGCTGAGGGTTTTTTCAACCTGCAATCTGCTCCTGTCAGAGACCAGCAGGGCTGAGTCGTCCGCGAACAGGAACAACGTTGAACAGGTGTTGTGTCAAATTATGCACCCCCGTCGTGAAATGCACCCCTTGACACGGGAACGCGCATTTGAACGTATAGTCCGCTATTCTATGTTGTCTTTTTGATGGTTGGGTCGTCGAATCCTGGATTTTGCATTCATTCGTCACTTATTTTTCAGTTCATTTTTTTATTTAATATATGTTTTTATTTAATTGTGACGTCCTGTCTGTATACTTGTGCTTGTACTTGTGCTTTACAATGTATTGTTTATTTTTACATCAAGTGCTTGAGGGTGGGATTAATAGAATTATTTTATTTTGGGAGGTGCTTTTTATGAACAGCCTGGTTGCCACGATATGCACCCCTTGCTGTCACATACATGAAACTTGCTCCATGTATTGGTAGGCTACTAGTCATACAACTATACCCTCCAAAGTGCTTGAGGGTGGGATTCATAGAAGCATCTTTTTTGGGGGGGGTGCTTTTTACGGCAGGCCAGGGGGTGCATTTCACGACGGGGGTGCATAATTTGACACAACACCTGTTCCTACAGCATTCTTTAAGAGGGTTGTTGTGGCAAATCAACCCTCACAACAGGAAATAATGAAACAGAGAGGAACCAATAAAACACAAACACAGACATAGATGATATATACAGTCTATGATCCAGTGTAAATAACCACATAAACACAAATATGCATATATGCATATATACTATAGAAAATAAGGTTTGTGATATTGTGTTTTTTTTCTTTCTGCCTGTTCCTCAGTGTTATCCCTGATGATGAAGGGAAAGACAAGTTCAAGAAGAGCAGCGATGTTGCTTTCTACAGGTATTTTTGGTATTTCATATCTATTATACAGAGCCGGGGAAATAATTCAGATGCAATACAACAGTGTAAATGTAAATGGCCCATTTGATAATAATATAAGATACATTAAACTGTTGGATTATAAGTATTAAAGGTCACCTATCATGCTAATGTAAACACCGACCATATTGCTTCCAAAACAGTCGGGCATTGTTTCTGATAGCAACTTTCTGATAGGGCCGTAGGTCCACATTTCAGATATTACGTCATATCGGACGCAAATCTGGATCAGCTCCGTTGTAGCCCCGTTTTTAGAGATTTGGGTACAGAGGAAAAGAGAGAGGGTTTTATTTTCTGACGCTGCGTGAGTTCCCTGACACACCGGGGACACATCTTTATGTATAAAAGACATCAAAAAGTGCATTTTGCATGATAGGTCTTTAAAACAATATTGTTGCAGTTGCTAAAGGTGCTCATTTGAATTACCTACACATCTGTGATTCAGCTCATGCATTTCCACCCTGGGGTTAAAATATACTTTGTTAATTTCCACTTCTGCCATTTTATATAAGTTGTATTTGCAAATAACTTTAATCGCCAACAGTTAAGTGTATTCTGCAGAACTTCAAGCCTCCTCAATACCCTGTTTGGCAGTTTTAGTGTCACATTTTGGATGCATTGTGATTTCATTTCTTTTTTTCACTTTCTAGGCGCCAGATGGAGGGCCCCAACCTGCAGCATCGAGCTCTGTTGGACACCTTGGTGCTGACGGAGAGGGGGGCTCGCTTCGAACTGTTGGAACCGGACACACAGGTCTGAACACAACCATGATGATACATCTCTTTATTTATCTTTGATACTATTTGAAAATTGTCATATTAGAAAAATAAATAATAAGTAACAGGTCTTTTTATGCTGTGTTAGTGCGCATCAGAGGTTATAAATGTGATGCTAATCATAGCTTGTTATAACAACTAAACTGCCCTTTTAAATTCTGAATAAAATACTTTCTTTGTCCTTTTCACATGCAGACCAAACTGCTTCTTTCTGTGTCACCTTGCAAAAATGACACTGTGAGGATACTAATCGATGAGATGGAGCCCATTAAAGCTCGCTACAGAGTTCCAGATGTGATTACAGGGGAGCTGCAGTGTGAACAGTAAGATCTGAGTCACACCTCCATTATCATATCCAGCTACACATGCAATATTATCAAAAAGTCCTCTCCACTTCTTCTTTGCCATTAAAGGGGCCCTATTACGTTTTTGGGGGTTTGCTATTGGAATCCTTTGTTTACGTCTGGAACATAGTGACATCACTATATAACACTCGCGCTCCTATTAGCTAGCGCTCCAACACATTGTACGTGATAGGCTAAGGGGCGGGACATCTCTAAGCGGTTGACCAATCACAACAGAGCCGGCCAGCTAACCAATCAGAGCAGACTGGGCTCTGGTTTCAGACAGAGGGTGAAAAGAGGTGCAGCAGCACAGGCAGTATGAGAACAATAAAGAGCTTTTTGAACATTAAAGAATGGAGATATGTCCCAGTAGAGACACTACATACTGATATACACCTGAACATCAGCAGGAGAGGACTCTTTAAAGTAGAGACACTACATACTGATATACACCTGAACATCAGCAGGAGAGACTCTTTAAAGTAGAGACACTACATACTGATATACACCTGAACATCAGCAGGAGAGGACTCTTTAAAGTAGAGACACTACATACTGATATACACCTGAACATCAGCAGGAGAGGACTCTTTAAAGTAGAGACACTACATACTGATATACAACCCTGAACATCAGCAGGAGAGGACTCTTTAAAGTAGAGACACTACATACTGATATACACCTGAACATCAGCAGGATAGGACTCTTTAAAGTAGAGACACTACATACTGATATACACCTGAACATCAGCAGGAGAGGACTCTTTAAAGTAGAGACACTACATACTGATATACACCTGAACATCAGCAGGAGAGGACTCTTTAAAGTAGAGACACTACATACTGATATACACCTGAACATCAGCAGGAGAGGACTCTTTAAAGTAGAGACACTACATACTGATATACACCTGATAATGAACAGAATACACTATTAATACACATGCACCTGAAAGGGATTTTACCCAGACACAATACAGCAGATTTTCTCGTCATTAGATTCAGTTTTTATTTTGGTTTATTGAAGTAGTTGTACATAGAGATAAAGCAAAATGCTCCCATAGACACATCCATGTGCAAATAATTGCCACGACCAAGTGTCAAAATAATACTGCACAGTATATTCAAACAAAACCATATAACATGCCAACAATTAACAATAAATGGCTCCTACAGGACAGTTTCCATCTCCACATGGCTGCAGTATTCTTTGTTTTTCCCTTCCTCTTGCAGGTTGAGAGTGGAGAGGCGGTCGAAGCTGTGTGTCTCTCTCTCCTGGTCTTCAGGGCGTCACCAGATCTGCGTTTGGCATTTCCCTTTCCGTCTGGAGATCCTGTGTGAGGACAAAGTGATGGTGACGTTCAACTCCAGGAGCAAACTGTGGTTCGAGACGCTGCAGGATCCACCAAGGAGAGGGTGTGAGGGAAGGTAGTGTACTGGAACCCTTATATACCCAAACTTACTTATCGCTGCATTATTTTATCCATACATTTCTTTATAAATGTCTTCTTTATCAGGCAAATGGGACACATTTAAAGGTGAATTAAATTAGATTTTCTTTGTGTCTTTTTCCTCAGAGCCTCTTCTCATGGCAGTGAGGTAATACCATACTAACAGTTTAAACTATAGTGTAATATAACTTCTACTTCAAGCCTTTAACGGTCTTTAAATGCATTTATTTTTCTGCTTTCTTCCTCTGACAGTCACAAGAGGACACATTATGGAAAGAGACGTTCAGACAGTTCGTGGATGTCAAAGCTAATGGTTTGTTTCTGCTATTTAATTACTATTTTAAAACATAGACTTGTCAGATATTCAACATTAAAGGTGTTATTATTTTATTGTCACTCAGGATATAAATAGAATTGTGTGAAATAATTATGCTGGGAGGCTCCGTTAGAGAAAAACAATAATTTAAATGTATAAAAAGACGTGATAAATTTGCTTTAAATAATGTACAAATACATAAAACATGGCAAGAAATTATAAATAAATAAACAATAGCAGATATTCCCTCTAATGCATTAGACTGTAGAGGAATATTGTTTTATTTCTCCGATATATGTTTCTGGTAATCGAAATAGTTTTAAAACAGATTGGATTCAATTCAACCCTATCGTCATTTAGGCATTAAATACATATTCAAACTATGTATAATAACCACATTTATGTAGCCTCTTTCCTAACTAATTTATAGACATCATTTAATACAAAAACAGCCATTTAACAGTCTTCATTCAGGGTAAAATCACCATATTGTAGAGGCTGAAAACTGTACTTTTCTAACAGTTTTGCTTAAAAATGTGGTTTATCATTAATTAACTATTGATAAAAGTAGCCGTCTGACATATTGTTAGAGCTCTACCTCAAATGTTAAATCTACTCAGAAAAGCTGACACAAAAACACCTGATTTCTGATGTTTGTTGTAAGTTGTAACGTGTGTTTTCTACTTTAAAATACATTTTCAGATACATTTTTGAGCATTAAACATTATCGATATTAGTTTTTCTCGACTGCTGCAAAACACCATGACATCTGGAGGTGCATGAATCAGATTAAAGTGCTTCCTGTTCCTCTGCAGGTCCGAGCAGCGTTGGTTCTGATCTCTCTCTGCACGGCTTCTCTCACGTGTTCGGGCTGCCGGAGCACGCCGACGGCCTCCAGCTCAGAGACACCAGGTCAGTGTAAAGAAAAAGATCTGTGATTATGGTGTAACCTGTGTTGGGGAAATATGTTCCTAGGCCCATTCTTATATATAATTCATGTTTTATTTATTTAAACTGGGATTTGAAATGTTTTTCTTATTTTTTGTAGGGTTTGTATTGGGTGTGATTTAGAATTAATTAAAAAAAAAAAAGATTTAAAATATATTTAAAAAATATATATAGACATAAGAAGTTAAGCTAAGAATCTGCAATAAAAAAATCAAATCAAATAAATATATTTGTACAAACAAAGGAAGTTAAAGTGAAATGTCCAATAAATAAAATAAATTAGTAAAATATTTATATAAGCTTAAGAAGTTAAGAATTTGGATAAAAGATGAAATAAAAAAACATTAATATAACAAAGGAGGTGCAAGTAAATTATTACTAGGTAGGTAATTCACTTCAGATACACTTTTTGTTATATTCCATGGAATGCTCTTAACATCCCGATAGCAATGAATACATTAAATGCTTTGACAATAAATACATAAAAACATTTAATCTGTGGAAGCCGTGGCGCTGTAAAAAGCACGACCAATCATCTGAGCCGGCCCGGCTAAAAATAACTGGATGCCTACCTGCCTGTCAGCCTTCCATCTGTGCACAAACTTATCTCGTGCCCTCATTGGTCATGTGCGCGTTCGTGTGTGTTGGAGGAGGGGCTCTGTAAGGAAGTCTGAAGGAAAGGGCAGATTTTGTTCGGCCGCTGCGTACTTTCAATCCATTATAGCGCACTCGAGCTGTTCCTTCTCCATTCTACCTACCATACCTTGTTGTATCAGTTTGTACTGCCCTCACTGAACACAGGCCTGTAAGGAATAAGGAGACAGTGTTTTGTCTCCTTATGCCTGCCTGTTGGCGTCAGCTGATAGAGGTGTTATGGTTTTATCTGTTATTCAGCATGTTGATTATTCATTCTCAGAACCAGCTAAATACATGGTCTGGGGTGGAGATCTTCAGAATTGATTGGCAACTCGCTGTGGCACCTCGTAGCCAGCATATGTCTTGTGAATATCTCCGGCCGAAGTTTCAAATAAACCATCAGTGTTAGAAAAATATCACTGGTCACCGGCTTGAGCTTCCAATCTCAGGATCCATGTATTTGTGATCCTCTCCAGAATGGAAGTAGTCATCACATACAGAGCATCAACTAGTTCCTGAACAGTGTCCTTCACATGCTGATATCCAAGAGAGGGAGTTACACAGTCACAAGATGGAGGAATAGAAAGCAGTATTCAATGTTTAGATAGATAGATAGATAGATCGTACTTTATTGATCCCAAATTGGGAAATTGTTTTTGTTACAGCAGCATAAAAGGCATTTTACAATAAATTTAGTTCAGATTAGCTCCACGTCAGAAATGACGACAAATTAGCTCCACGTCAGAAATGATCATGCTTGTCATATGTCTATCTCCATAGAGGCTGAATCATCATGTTAATCACATAGCTATCATATGCCTAAAACAGTCCTGATGCTCTTCTAGGTAATCATACATCCTGTCATGTTCACAGCTACAGTTGGGATACCTTTGTTATCATGTGGACTCTGATATTGGAAGAGTACATTCAGTATTTTCCCAACAATCAGTGTTTGCTATCAAAGTTCCTGCTCTCCTCGTGTCTCTCTGAGTCTCCATTGCTTCAGAAGTTTCCTTCACAACCTCCACATGTTAGGTCATAATGTCTGTTTGTGTCCCCAGAGACGGAGATGCTTACCGGCTGTTTAACTTGGACGTGTTTGCGTACGACCTGCAGTCCCGCCTCGGCCTCTCACGGCTCGTGCCGCTGGTACCTGGCCCACAAACAGACAGGACTCTGGCGTGTTCTGGCTCAACGCATCCGAAACCTTTGTGAACGTCCATTACAGCTCATCTGACCACCAGGTAGGTCTTGTAGCTCACCAGGTAGGTCTTGTAGCTCACCAGGTAGGTCTTGTAGTTCACCAGGTAGGTCTTGTAGTTCACCAGGTAGGTCTTGTAGCTCACCAGGTAGGTCTTGTAGTTCACCAGGTAGGTCTTGTAGTTCACCAGGTAGGTCTTGTAGTTCACCAGGTAGGTCTTGTAGTTCACCAGGTAGGTCTTGTTCCATTGAAAATCTTATATAGTGTCTCCCCGTATGATTGTCAAAGTTTCGTTTTCCAGGAGCTGCTTACTTATTCCCCAAAGTTAGAGAGACAGAAGTAAAAACATGTTGGTTTTGAACTTAGTTTTGGTTTAGCAAACGCTAAAATCCCTGTCTTCCCCCGCCTGAAACGCCTCCATTGGACTCCTTTGTTTACTTCCGGAACATAGTGACGTCACTATGTAACACTTGCACTCCTATTGGCTAGCGCTCCAACACATTGTACGTGATAGGCTAAGGGGCGGGACATCTCTAAAAGGTTGACCAATCACAACAGAGCCGGCCAGCTAACCAATCAGTGCAGACTGGGCTCTGGTTTCAGACAGAGGGTGAGAGCTTTTTGAACATTAAGCATGGAGACATGTCACAGTAGAGACACTACATACTGATATACACCTGAACATCAGCAGGAGAGGACTCTTTAAAGTGAGACACGACATACTGATATACACCCTGAACATCAGCAGGAGAGGACTCTTTAAAGTAGAGACACTACATACTGATATACACTTGACATCAGCAGAGAGGACTCTTTAAAGTAGAGACACTACATACTGATATACACCTGAACATCAGCAGGAGAGGACTCTTTAAAGTAGAGACACTACATACTGATATACACCTGAACATCAGCAGGAGAGGACTCTTTAAAGTAGAGACACTACATACTGATATACACCTGAACATCAGCAGGAGAGGACTCTTTAAAGTAGAGACACTACATTACTGATATACACCTGAACATCAGCAGGAGAGGACTCTTTAAAGTAGAGACACTACATACTGATATACACCTGAACATCAGCAGGAGAGGACTCTTTAAAGTAGAGACACTACATACTGATATACACCTGAACATCAGCAGGAGAGGACTCTTTAAAGTAGAGACACTACATTCTGATATACACCTGAACATCAGCAGGAGAGGACTCTTTAAAGTAGAGACACTACATACTGATATACACCTGAACATCAGCAGGAGAGGACTCTTTAATAGTAGAGACACTACATACTGATATACACCTGAACATCAGCAGGAGAGGACTCTTTAAAGTAGAGACACTACATTACTGATATACACCTGAACATCAGCAGGAGAGGACTCTTTAAAGTAGAGACACTACATACTGATATACACCTGAACATCAGCAGGAGAGGACTCTTTAAAGTAGAGACACTACATACTGATATACACCTGAACATCAGCAGGAGAGGACTCTTTAAAGTAGAGACACTACATACTGATATACACCCTGAACATCAGCAGGAGAGGACTCTTTAAAGTAGAGAGACACTACATTACTGATATACACCCTGAACATCAGCAGGAGAGGACTCTTTAAAGTAGAGACACTACATACTGATATACACCTGAACATCAGCAGGAGAGGACTCTTTAAAGTAGAGACACTACATACTGATATACACCTGAACATCAGCAGGAGAGGACTCTTTAAAGTAGAGACACTACATTCTGATATACACCTGAACATCAGCAGGAGAGGACTCTTTAAAGTAGAGACACTACATACTGATATACACCTGAACATCAGCAGGAGAGGACTCTTTAAAGTAGAGACACTACATACTGATATACACCTGAACATCAGCAGGAGAGGACTCTTTAAAGTAGAGACACTACATACTGATATACACCTGAACATCAGCAGGAAGGACTCTTTAAAGTAGAGACACTAACATACTGATATACACCTGAACATCAGCAGGAGAGGACTCTTTAAAGTAGAGACAACTACATACTGATATACACCTGAGAATAAGCAGAGATACCATTTTCCAAAGTAAAGCTTTTTTAGAAAACATTCAGAAATGTTTCCGTACATCCATCACCACAATGATAACCCCCCTCCCTCCTACTAGGCCGGATGTGAGATCCCCCCCTCGCTGAAGAGGGTAGGCGCAGGGAGCCTCAGACGAACGTCCACTGGCTGTCAGAGAGCGGCCTGATCGACTGCCTGGTTCTGCTGGGGCCCGGTCCACAGCAGGTCTTCAAACAGTACGCCCAGCTCACAGGTGTGTGTGTGTGTGTGCAGCACTCCGTTTGTGTTTTATTTCCTATGTAATTTTCCTATTTATTGATTTAATAAAAATATATATATAAACATAAGACGTTAAGCTAAGAATCTGCAATAAAATAATAATAAATCAAATATATTTGTACAAACAAAGGAAGTTAAAGTCAAATGTCCAATAAAAAATAAAAATTCGTAAAATATTTATATATGCTTATGAAGTTAAGAATTTGCATAAAAGATGAAATAAAAAAACATTAATATAAACAAATGAAGTAAAAGTAAAATGTACAATAAAAAAATGGAAGACAAATATATAACAGAAGAAGTCAAGCTAAGAATGTACCTGTAAACATTTGTATTAAAACAATGATATAATCAAAGGAGGTACAAGTAAAATGTCCAATAAAAATTACACATTGTATACAATATATAATAATAATAATAATAATAATACATTTTATTTAAGGCGCTTTTCATGACTCCCAAGGACACCGTACAATTTGTTAAATATTCTAAGAGCAAAAGCAACGAAACATGAATAAAAACACAAACATACCATCATGGAGAGGACAATTGATAGGG